GTTTCATTTTCCACAAGGATTACACTGACATACAAAATGAGGAGATTGACAGCAGCCGAGTAATTTCAGCTCAAAATCACGTTGTGACTGCGACACAGGTCCAGCCATCACTATAAGACCTCGGCCCCTCTCAAGCCAGAGCCCCCCAGTGTGCCTGTAGGCACTGACTATATTTCCACCCCTGGTGAGGAAAGTAAATGAGAAATCAATCCAACACTTAAGTTTCATTTCATTGTGTAAGAGCACTGATCCATCACAGGGTGTTATGGTCTGGGACTGCCTCTGCTTCTCTGCATGCTGCATGACTGCTTAAACAAAAACCACACACACATACACGCAAACACACCCTCACACATACACACCCAGAGAAAAACACTCACAAGCTGGATGCAGACTGAAATATCAAAAGGTCAGTAGACAGGCAAGAGGAGAGTCTGGTGTTGTTGTAAGACAGGCTGGGCCTCTGAGATCTCTGTCCCTTAGCGTTTGTCTGTGGAATATCAAGGACAAAACTGGAAATCGTAAACAGGGCCTGATGTCTGTGTTTGGTCATGCATATTGTAGATGCCAGATGTGCCTACCGTGTCTTTTGGTCCATAAATCATCATTCAGTCTCAGCCGTCATAAAGCCAAAAATTCAACTGAGGATTTATGATGGTAGAGATTATATGGAAAAATACTTAATCCTCTTAGTGAGAGTGCATTTTTATCAGTGGGAATCATTTCACTATACATACTTTTAAATAAATGATGCCAGACATGAACTCACTGCCAAGGAGCTCATAATTTATTCATGAATATGTAGTGAATGTGCATTAAAAACTGCAATTAATCCTCCTTAGATTCCTCAGCACATAATCCTGTGATTTCTTCTCACTGTAGACATCTCACGTACAATTAATATTTCAGAAGTCATATACCAAGAGCATGCAACTTTTCTCTGTCTGTCCACCATTTCAGTTCACTGTGAGAGCAGTAGAAAAAAAAAGCAACATGTCTCAACTACACCACAGTGCCACACAATGGCCAGGAGAGGGAAAACATAATGGATGTAGATTAATTAAGGAGGATCCCTCCAAAGAAACTGGCTTATTTTCCAATAAAGTGGAGAAAAGGTTTTGTTTCTGTCCTTGTTGATTTATTGTCAAAATATCTTTGATTCTAGCTGCATGGTTGGCAGAAAATAACTGGCGGGACAATCCTTGGCCCAGGAATTAGGTGATCAGATTATGATTAAAAAAACATGATAGGAAATTTCTGCCATTAGACTGTTATGTGATCAAAGCCCTTGATCAAAGCACTAGGTTTAGCAGTACAACCCTGTATTTCGCTAGTTAGTTTGACAATCAAACTGTGCTTACCCTGTCATATTATTTCCAATTACAGGGTCCATTAAATTAAATTCTGAGTTTGGCACAAGTACTACCATGTCCAGTACAATATAAATGGTTATAATGTGCAGGATATGAAACAGCACTTGGTTATAACATGATTACATAAGCAATTTTTGACATCTTAAAGTTTAACAATGGGTGGAGGAGAATCACTCGGGTTGTGGGTTATCTTGTGGACGTGGTTTTATTTGAATCATGCGACGGATCCCTTTTTTTCAGTTACAACAGGAGCTGTGTGTTTGCAGCTTTTTGAGTGATGAAGTGAATCAAGAGTATTGAGGACTGAATGAGAGCTAATTAGAGAAGAGGGAAGAGTGATGTATTGCTGGAGGAGGGGTGGTTTGTACTGCTGGGATGGAGGGATGGAGTCCCACATCCCAGGTCCTTCACAATGGAAGGGAAAGTTGTGTTTTCTTATTACTTATCTGCTCCCTTGCTTCTCTTGTTATGGTTTTTTAAGTCTTTACCCATATATTGCTTTTCTCTCAAAATCTCATACCAATACTCGCATTATGTCCCTATACAGAGTCATTTTTATCCCACTAGAAACATTACCTTTTTATCCCTGTAAATTTGTACTCAAAAAAAGCCTCTCTTTGGCCCAGAAGAGCAATATCAAGGAAAAGTCTCCATAGATTTATGACTAACAATAGAAAAAGTCCAACATTTTCTCACCTTTACTATCTTGCATACTGCTAAATGAGAGGACTGAAATCACTGCCCTTTCTCCAGAGTTAACGAAAGCCACTACCACAGTTCTTTAACTTATTGTTGTACAGAGACTGGAAAAAGCCAGCCTGGCTCTGTCTAGAGGAAACTAACTTGCAAGAGTCCCAAAAAAGACTGATTGCCTGGCAAGACCCCAGGAGAGTTAATGCACCTGACAAAGAAATAGTCCAGCAACATAACCCTGGGATATCGATGTAGTGGATGGATGCATTTTTACCCTGTATTTATGTGTTTTATACAAATTAAACAAAGGAGATTAATTGTGAGAACTTTTGCAATGTCAGTGAGTGGATTCTGTCACTCATGGTTGGAGCCAGACTATTTTTTTTTGTTTGAAATCTAAATGAAACTAACTGGTGGCTGCTTGTTGCCATATATTTACTTTACAGAGTGGATCATGTGTGTCAAGTGATCAGTGTGTTCTTCTTTATGTCATCACCTTTCTTTGAGCGTATTTCAATGACGACTGTTTTAAAATGAACCTGAATGATTTGATTAAATTCATGTGAGGAAAAACAGTGATAATGCTATAGTCCTGTTTTACTGTTTACAAAAATTACACACTATCAAAGGTTGAAAAACACCGATATATTTAGCTAGTATGGTCTCCTGCCTCCTATTTAATTCTACGCAAGCCTCACATAGACAGGTGTTGCAAATTAGCATCTCGCTAAAAACACTAAGTGCAGTGCATCTGGGGGTTGTGCATGGTTAAATGTTTCAGCACCAGAGCTACTATACATCCATGTTAAATACAGAAAAAAAACATTTTTAGATTGAAGTATTCTCAAAACATACACTTGCTATTATTATCATCATTATTAATTTTTTTTACTATGCCCTTTGTGGGACATAATTTATTACACGCCCTGTTTCCTACATGCCTAACCATTTATCAAAATGATTACATATGCCTCCTGATGAATAAATGAAAACGCTCCTGAGTTTACCTCACTTGTCACGTTTAAACACATGTGGATACAGGAAGAATACAGAGTATCAGCATCGATCGCTGTTTTTCATCCTTCCTCACTTCATAACAAACAGATAAATCCAGCGAACATCTTGTATCTGTGGCTGTGAACCTAGACAATGTGAGGAGGGTAGCCAAAAAAAGAAGACTAATAAAAAGAACGGTTGATCCCTTCTGTATCAAATAAGTAGGAGTATGATAGCTTATTGGGAGGTAAACAATGCAGGCCTTATAAAACCTCTCCTGGGCTTTACCAAATGACCAATATAGTTTCCTCTGGATAGGAATGCCCGGCCTGGTTTATGTGAGTGTATTGGATGTGTGTGTTTGTGTGTGCATCTGTGCATTAGAGTGTTTATGCGTCTTTGTGCTTGTTTGTGAGCCTCTGCCTGACTAGGAAAAAAAATTACGTTCTATAAAACGTCTCCATAAACAGCATGGCACAATAAATCCAAGGCAGAAATATTAAGTGGAACCAATATTTTGCTGGACCCTCTCCAGATTCCTAGTAAAACTCCCCAGTCAGAATGACCTTAGCATTAAAAATATATATTTTACAGGGGGAAATAATCCAATTCCCTTCCAATGAAGGCATCATTGACATGGGGCTATCTATGCTGTGCACCTGGGTCTTTCCACTGAGAGGTCATTTAGTATACAATGCATTCTCTCAGTTAGGTAGAGCTCTGGTAAATACACCATGAATATCCAAGAAAAAGGAGTATTTTTGCAATGTCAAGAAAAAAAGAAATGATGTCGGAAAAAAAAAGGAATGACAGCAAGAAAAAAGGAAAGGAAAGCAAGAAAAAAAGAAGTCTCTCAAACTGTTGCTTTGTTCTAAGATGGGAGCCTCCCATATGTGCAGAGAGACTAAGCAGTACTGCTACAAAGGAAACATGCTCAAGGACACCTGTTTCTTGGAGGAAGCAGTTCGTGAGAAGCATCTTTTTTTTTCTTCTGCTCCAAGCTGCAGCAGCCACGTGTAAAAGCAAGGAAAGGCCTAAGATCCTTCTGCAGTCCCCTGTCCCCACAATGAGCGACTATGTGTTTCAGAATTTGACAAGATAGTCAAAATTTGATGAAGTCCTAAGCTGACACAATGTGCCTGTGCTCTTAAAAAAAGGCTACCATGGAATATATAGCATTATACTTTCTCAAAAGGCGCTCTTGATTCTTTATTAATCAAAGAAAACATGTAAAAGAGAATTTCTTACACTGCAGCACATTTGCCCAATTAACTTTACAGCATCAGCAGAATGTCTGTGATCCTGGAGGAAGAAACCACAGAGGACTCCAAAACAAATCCATCTGCACAGAAGATCTACCTCACATGAATCCATCCTGTGTTTCTCTGTAGACTCATGCTATCACTTCTCTGATTTAAAAAAACTCTTTGGAAACTCTCGTGCAATGCTCAGGAAGTCATGGTTATGCATTTGCTTTCCTGTAACATTATCTCCTGGAGTAAATTAATTTCTCTGGTGGGTTCATGCAGGGCTCTTTTAGTGGAGAAGAAAATTGCTGATGAGGGGGACGACGATGTAAAAAAGTCACGCCGGCCCACCCTCCCTATTTCTGTCTCTCAGTCAGATGAGGTCATCAAACTCCAACCTTTTTTTGTCTATTAATGATGTCACAGCCAAGCCTTTTTTTTTTTTTTTGGACACCCCATCCCCTGAGACTGCTTGGCTCAGGGCAGACAAAGACTTCATCTTGATTCAAGAGAGCGATAACACCCTCGATAGCAATGTGACAAAGGCTAGATAGGCAGTGTAAGAGAAGATAGTGAGGGGGAGAGAGCAGATGCCAGCAGAGAGAGGAGGAGAAGAAGAAGAAGACAGGAGAGGAGCAAGTCAGAGGAGGGTCTGTGAGACGCACTGTGCCTTTAAAGCACCAGGCCCCGCCTCCACAGAGCCGAGGAGAACAGCCGAGTGGTGCTGGCAGGAGCCTGAGCCCCCACGATAAACTCTGGCATCAGCTTCCCTTCATCCGACAGTCAGCGAGGACACAGCGAGGGCGCAGGGGCAGAGAGAAGGGGACGGAGAGAGGAAGAGTGTCAGAGTGACAGAAAGAAGGGAGGGAGGTAGAGAGACAATAAACAGGCAGATAGACAGAGAAGGAAAGGCTGTCAAAGGAATCACACAGCTCCTTCTTCTCACAGCAGCAGCAGCAGCAGAAGCAGCAGCCCAGCCAGTTCTGACTGCTGCCTCCCGATGTGGGCGAAGGCTGACGTGGATGACGGGTGGCATGTTTTCGGCAGAACTGTTATCTGAGTGATGGTAGCAGCGGCCGCGGCGGCATCACAAACCAAAGCAGGAGCTCTCGTGGCTGTTAGTCATCCTCAGTCTCCTCTCTCCCCTCTCAGAGTGCTATCAGGGCCATTCATCGTTCCCATCTCATGCCTCCTGCCTCCTCCTCCTCCTCCTCTTCCTCCTCCTCCTCCTCCACGGCTTCATCCTCTACTTGTACTCCTCCTCTGATGAGCCACAGCCTCAGAGTGAAATAACCCCGCTGATAGAAGCTTCTCCCTCTGTCAAGACAGTAAGTAGGGGAGGGAGAGAGGGAGAGAACTGCATGTGTGAGTGTGTGAGGGTGACAGAAAGATAGTGACAGAGTGAAAGGGAGTGTGTGTGTGTGTATGTGTGTGTGTGAAAGAGAGAGAGAGAGAGAGAGAGAGAGTACAGCCAGGCGGCGAGTAGAAAAGATGTTAGTGCGTGCGACAGAGGAACTGATAAAGAACCAGCAGGTTGTGTGTAGCCGGAATGATCCTGCTGTGCGTGGACAGTGAGCTCTGGGCATAGCAACAGCAAAGTGATGCACAGGAAAGGTGAGTAGGTGTGTGTTCCTGCATGTGAGTAGAGGTGAGGTGAGAAGTGCTGCAAGGAAGAGATTTCAGTTCCAAGAGCAGCTAAAAATTGTCAGCGCAGTTAATTTATGTCCATGTTTGAGACTTCCTCACTCCATTGCTCTTACTTTTTTATGCTGCAACGATTCAGGAGGGGGAAAAAAAAAAAGGAGGGATGTCAAAGAAAAAAAGAAGAGACACTGGAGAATATGTGATTGCTTTCCTTCTCTGTCTGTCCAGGTGCCATGTGTGATTGGCCAGCGCATCCTGTGACAGTGGCATCGCCCTGGATTTGGCGAGAAGCTCTCCCTCCTGCTTGTTCTCTGGGGCTCCTCTGGGAAGCTTTCATAGGATTTATCAGGTCCTGCTGGATGGCACGGAGCTCTGTGCCTCTCTGAGAGGAGTCCACAGAGAAAACCATACACTACACGGATAAGAAGTAAAATAATTATCCAATCACAGCACAAGGAGGCAGACCGGGTTCCCTTAGCAACAACTGAAGGAGAGGAGAGAATCCTTTTCTCTTTCTGCTCTCTTGGTTTTTGGGCACACCCCTGTGGACTGCTGTGGGTCAGTGTTTTTCTGAGAGGACTTGGATAACACCGTTGCATGAAGACGGGCTGCCTCCCAAATCCCAGGGAAAGGTGCTCATCTGCCTTCCAGCCCCCCCTTGTAACTGTGACTTCTCCCTACGACACTATGATTTTTTGTTATGCTTCTTCAAAATTCTCATCACAAGTCACGTTCTGCTGGCTTGGAAATCAATTCATTCTGATCCCACGCCACCTGGAATAAGCCCTGCTTCAGGGAGATTGGACGCTCTGTGAAAGGACCCACACCTACCTTTCCTTGCCTTTCATGGACGACAAGTGAAGGACGACATGAGTAAGTCATCATCTGCAAAGAAAATGGATGTCAAGCAAAGTTTATTTTGATGTGAGTTCCACTGACAGTCGTTTTATTTTTCCTGGAGAAGGAAACGCCGCACTGAACAGAGGAATATCCCCCCTTTTTTCCAAATAGGATCTGTCCTCTCACTCTCTTTCTTTCTTTCTCTCTGGAAAGACAGTAGCCTTCACTGAGATACTAAATTTAGTAGGAAAATCTTGTCCCAGTTGGCCAATAATGTAGAACAGGATCGTTTTAAAAATTGAGCCACTGCTGGGAGTTCTATTTTTCTATCTATGCTGGATAGCTTTGTCTATAAAGGGGTTAATATGAACCCATTTTCTGCTTTCAATTTTGTATGTTAGCCTGCCATTATGTTATTCTGTTTCACAAGTCAAAAAGATTGTACGGGACAAGTGGGGTAGGGTAGAAGTCTCTTCCCTGTATGTATGGACAGGCGTTTTAAATAGTATCTCCTGGGGAACATTTCCAAACGTACACACTGGCACATGAGATGAGTTGGCTCAAAACGATTATGTAAGAGTTTCGTACCAGCTTTAGCCCGTGTATTTTGCCTCTTCATTGTCAATGGATTTACAGCGTTTGACATTTCCCATGCTCATTTTCTCTTCGTTTTTGGAAGCGTCTCCCAGAAGCCATGGATGTCAGAGTGTGACCCTGTGCCGAGTGTGCGGGCCAGGCAAGGCGTTTTGGCTGCCCAGGTGCTTTTAAGATGTTGAGGTCTCCCTGCGTGGCCGGGGCCCCTGTTCGGATCAGTAGCACTGAGGCTCCTTGTAGCCAAAGACATGGACCCCGACTCGGCTCCCCCACGCCCTCAGCCTGTTGGCCACTGGCCCCACGTCGCCCTGTAAAGGATGTCCCTCAGCAGAGCTCCGGCCCGGGACACCTCTGAGACCCCCAGCCCGAGAGAACGCATCCGCAGCCACATGAAGATGGTGATCAACCAGCTGGAAGGTATCCTCATAGAGCTCAAGGATGTGGCCAAGGAACTCCGGGAGGTGAGGCCCAATATCAGCATACACAGGCTGTCTTTAGGGGGGGATTATAAAAAAAACAGAGGGGGAGGATGAGCTGAAGGCAGGGGAAGAATGTGGGTGCCATGTGGGTGTGCTCTTCAAGTTGACTGCCTTTAATTAAGTGTAAAATTCTTCTCGCAGCATGGAGATTTTGATTAAGATTTGAAAGTGATGAGATCTCACTTTTTTGTTTTGGTAGCAGGAGGAGGATGTTGATTACAGCCACAGACAGGCTGACTCTCTTTACCTATCAAACAAATACAAATGTCCTTCATGTGTTCAGTGGGGTCTTGTGAGGGGGGGGGGACAGATGATGTGAAGAGCTGTTGAAAAAGCAGCCAAAGCCAGGCTAAAAGGAAACAGAGAGGCAGGCTTAGATAAGATACAAGACTTTGCACCACAATAGTTATATAACCATTTTGTTAAGGATCAGCTGGATTCCTACTGTATTTTTGCAACTGCCATGGTAACGCTGCTAGATGAGTGTGTGTGTGTGTGTGTGTGTGTGTGTATTTAAGGTGTGTATAGTGCATCTGTACAGTGTGCAGTTTGAACAAGGATCAACAAAGAGAGACTCTGTTTGTGTGCATGTGTTCTTACAAGCATCTACAAGTACAGGAACAAAAAGGAAAATGCGAGTGTGACGGTTGATAATGCGGAGTACATCTGTTCATGGGTGTGAGAGAACAAAATGGCCCTCATCATCTCTTTGGGATCTTCCCCCCGCAGCTTCCTCAAAGCCATAAGCTCTCCTCGCAAAGCTCCTCCAAAGAGAGAGATAAAAACAGATAGAGAGACAGAGACAAATGAAACCCGAGCTAACAGTTGTGTCTGACCCATCCCACATCCTCCAAAACCATCACATGATTAACCTCCCACCTACTTCGGCTCAGTGATGCAGAGGGATTTCATGTTTATCCGTGTTTTTCTAAATCCATCGAAGAAGTGAAATGGTGGATATTAGAGCATGTAATGACCCAAAGGAGGAGGAGGAGGAGGAGGAAAGTTCTGAATGTACAGGGGTGAAGCTGCCATAACTCACTCCATCACGGGGTAGGAACCCGTTCTTCTTCCTCCTCCTCCTCCCCGACTTGCAGCTCTGTCCCACTCACTACGCTCTACTTTATGTGCTCGCACAGTTGGAGGTGCAAGGGCACAGCTCACGGGGCACCTTCTCTCTAGTGAGCAGGAGAAGCCGGCCTGCGCGGGGGAGTGATTGATGATTATGGGACAACTGCAAGTGGAATAATGCTGGCTGGGGCTATTTATAAACAAAAACACGGCCTGTGCCTCTGCCAACTCCAACGCATATTACCATTCTTATCCCCGACCCCATTAGGGAGGGTTCTGCACAGTGGCTCAAATGTCATTTTTTTATTGAGAGAGAGCACAAGCCCACATATTGAAATGGCTAAGGGAATCATATTAGCTGCAGTGGCGGTCATAATGCCGGTATCAATATCCTGCAATTAGCCGACCTGTGAGATTGTCGACTGTATCAAGCAGAGACGAAGAAAGAGAATAGGAGTTGCCTCATAAGATGCAAGGAAGCCTAATGTTCCATAAAATGTCTCATTCTTGGCCACATTAAAGGAACAATATAATAGATAACTGTCACATAAATAAGAGATGAATTGCTGCGTGAATGTAGTGAAATAAATAACTCAGTGAAGGAGCAGTAGTGACTGATTATCACCCGCAAGGTCTTTGGTGAGCTGAAGATTCTGCTGTGACTCCAAGGAGTGAAAACCGGCACTTTAGATGCCCAACAAATTAAGTAGAAGCTAGTCTGTTAGCATATGTATCATATTACTTCACATACTCACCATACTAGCCTGCAGCAATTGCAGCAAATAGACAACTGCTAAAATAAGAAACACCTCATTTTGAATCTTTTCTCAATTTTCTGCTCACTTCTTGCCTGCTTTGTCTTATCACAGCCATACGATCTAACCGTTTCAATCTTTAAATATCAGATTTTCAATACGGATTTACACAGTTTACGTTTCATTGTTGAATAAATACATCAGGCAGGAAACAGGAAAACCATGCGTAGGCCCCAGGGGAATGTCACATCCACAAAAGTAGGAGACAGAAAAAAAATATCCTAATTTTAAGATTGTTTTGCCAACACTTGGCAGTAGACAGCAACACGAGCTGCTGTATTTAGAACAAATACTGTAGCAGATTTGGGATATCTCAAACATGAGAATGACCCATCTTGAATGATCTGTTTTTTAGTAGCAACATATGCTGTCAGAGGCCTTATAACGACAAGACAGTAAGTACTGAGGTACAAACTGGAGGGTTAAGAACATGTGTGTGCTTGACTAGGCCTTTTGGGAAGACCCTTCCCTTCGTTGTTTCTACTCCAAAATATCAGGCTTTACTCATGAAGGCACAAAAGTCTAGAAAAGAGTCACACTAAGTTCGTACTTTCTCATCTGCCAGACACCATCATCTTCATTGTCCCTCCCCTGAAGATCAAGAGCGAGCTGCTCTACTAAAACACTTGCTGAAATAGGCTCATCATTTTTAACCAGAATGTTGGGATCACCACAAACAACACTCAGTGCGGTCTAATTGAACCCTGCGGCAACCTACAATTAGACTTAAATCACTGTCATGTCAAAGGCAATGTGGGGCAAGTGCTTGGATTTCAGACATTTAGAGTATTCAAAGACTCAGGGTCGCATCATAGCAAACATTTGCCTCATATAATCTCACATTCGGCGTCATTATTTCTACTGAAGTTTACGCCAAACACTCAAGAGACAGCCATTTTGAGTCGGAAATTACAAATCGTCAATGTGGAATTAAAAAGCAATACAAAGGAAATTTCCATTTGTTAAGCCCGTGCTTTAAGTCTGTGAAATCTCCACTGAAAGCAGCAGTTTTATCCTTGGATGGTTTTGTTTTGTGGAAGGTAAAGAATATAGTAACCATTTCTATTTCAACTTACAGGAGCCAGATACAGGAAAATAGTCATTGTGACTGATTAGAGTTTTGAGGCCACTTGCAGTACGGTACACTCAGATTACTCAAGATTAAAACCTTTTGAATCAGAGGCTCTATCATCTTCACAATGAGATTATTTATTGTGCACACTGTGTTTTTATATGGACCATTAGTATAAAAAAGAGAGATCACTCGTCACAGCATTGGAGCTGTTTTATTCATTGTAAATCTCCTCTCCATGTCAAGCACAAACGCTTAACAAAGCATGATCAGTTCTTCAAGATTACTCCTGTCGGAGGCCTTCAGTCGGAGGAAGCCTGTCTTACTTCTGAATCCCATTACAGGCTTTATGACAGGTAAAATGAGAAAGATCTAAAGGAAGGACATTGGAAGGTAACATACTGATAAACTACTCCATTTGTTATAATAATAGTGGCAGGAGTGGCAACTCTGGAGGATATAATTCATTTAGGTATCATGTCAACCTTGGACTCAGAAGTCTGAGGATAAACAAGAACGGAAAAAGCACCAAAGAGAATGCAAAGCAACCTCAGAAATGTCTGATCTTAAGTTGTGTTTTGGCTCAAACTGAGAAAAAATCAAATGAAAGTGAATGTTACAGAGCATTTTGTGTGTGTGTTATTAGAGACTGGTAAATTAAAAGACTATAATGAAGCTCAGGGAAAAACACAAGGCAAGCAGGGAGACGTAGTGGCCTGGACTCGGGGGTGAGCCTTACATCTTTATGTGGAACCAAACGGGAATGATGGACTGTTATTATGTGGATGTAGTTATTATGCAGAATCGAACCACAGGCAGACGATGCTGAATGTCTGTGTTCAGCTCAAGACAAATGAACACAGGGAGGCAATCAGGACTCGTAGAATTACAGCTCTAAATGAGAGGAGTGAATATAGGCTGGACAAAGAGCAATTATCAGTAGCAGAGTACAGCACGTCCAGGACACCGGCCTCCATCAGTCAGCCTTGTGGTTGTTGACTGCACATGCTCATCATTATAGTGAGGAGCGATTCAGTGTCTGTACTCAGCTACAGGCCTAAAGAGAGGAGAGCAAAGCAGTAGGAAAACACTTGTGTCAGGTGAAAACCGCATCCTCAAAAAGTCAGCTTTTTAGAAGGAAGTCCTGAGTAACAGCTTTATTAATGAGACATGCAACCATGCAGATTTAGGACTATATAATGGATTTTTTAAAGTGTGTCATGAGTTCCTTTGATCTACAGAAAATTACCTGTGAGTAGCTGACTATCAGCTTTGTATGGCAGCTCATTTTAAAACTTTGTGCTCTAGTTCTTATGCAGGAGTATATCCCATTTAATCTCTATTAACTTCCTGTATTCAAGTAGGGAATATAGAGGCAGAGGACGAGGGTTTGAGTGTTAAAAGCTTCTGGTTTTAGAAGAGAGCTGCAAGACAGGACAATATGAGATCATGAAGGATTTAAACATGTCCATGACACACACACACAGACACGTGTTGAGACCAACAACAGATTTTAGAGTCAAAATGTGTTGGCAGTAAAAATGTAAAACGTCCTGTTAAACTTTGAAATTTAGAGTATTACAAACTCCAACATGAAACTCTTCCTAACTGCCTCTAGAAAATATGTAATCTAAACTGAAACATTACACATCATAGACAGATACACTTCAGAGATCTACCTCACCACATGGTCATGTGACATCTAGCCAATCAGATAGTAATGTGGAATGGATACAGAAGTGGTGCAAGAAAACAGCACTGAACAGCAGCACAGCCAAATTACCAAAGAACCTTTTTTAAATAAATATGTCAGTCATCTGTGAAATCAAAAGCTGGTACAGATAATTAGCCGAATCCTGATATCCCAATACAAGATGGCCAAATTACACACACAGATTAAATCTGTGTAAACAGCCTTTGGCTTTAATTGTCAATCAAACTTTTTGTCCTCTGTGAGGACTATATTTTCAAATAGGGAATTGTTTTGGTCAAACTAGTCAGTAACCTAAAATTGAACCGTGATGACATTGTGATCTTGAGTCTGCCATTATAGTATATTATTGTCCACTAGTGTTTTTCGAAAGACTATTGCTTCCAGTGTACACTTCTGGAAACAAAAGAGGTAAGACGTATCAACTGTCATCTGGTTAGACTTAAATATGACTCCATGATCATTTTTCAAGTTGGAAATCAGATTCTTAATACTTCTCTGAACAGAACAGGAAGCTGAAGCTGGATAAATTCTCCAGCAGTTGTCTTGATAACCTCTGGCAGCCCCTGGAGCCCCCCTCAAAAAAACATTATTGGGCTTCCCACTTTCAGAAACATAACTTCTGTCAGACAAGAGCCCAAAGGTTCAAAGACTGCAGCTTGTATGAAGGTACATTTCTCCATTGCAGACATGGAGGCAAAATAGGGTGGTCCTTTTTTATCTATTCATCACCAAATACCGGCAGCCTGATCCCATCCGCCTGGCTGTCAAATCAAGACATTTGTGTTTAAATGGGGTCTGTCAGAGCAAACCGCAATGTAAATAATTTGATCAAAAAGGCTATCATGCGGTGCTCTCTCATGTCTGCCGCACGCTTAAACGCTGCATTTTAAAAGCTTGGTGAGGGCGCTGAGATACCTAAACAGCTGGCCCCAGATCAGGCGGCCAGCAAGCCAGCCAGTGTATCCTTATCAAGACTGAAACCAGTTATGACACATTGAGGGGGGGAACCACGATCCCCCTCCTCTGAAGCTCGGCACTAAACCAAATCTGTTCTAAACCCAGAGGCAACGCATGGGAGACCAAAACCAAAATCAAAGGGCCATTTTTTTTTCTGCAGGGGCCATATCCCCTCCTCACGGCGTGTTTTCCCCTGCTGATGCTGCTGCTGAGCAGGGCAGGGAGCGGAAAACTGCAGAGCAAGAATCCTTCAACATTTAACTATGAGGGGACTCCAGTAACCAAGAGCACTTCATTCAGAGGGAAGAACAATATCAAGGAAAGACGTCAAAAGTGTCATCCCATTAAATAGCTGATCTGACTATGTAATTAATAAATAAATAAATTTAAGGGCGCATGTATCACAAAACTGCATGCTGTCTGTGGTGAACATGGCTCACTGCAGAGACATGTCACACAAAATTGGATGATACTCCAAAATTATCAGCGAAAAGGGAGGAGAGGGAAGTACGCAATCATAATAAGTGTTCACGACAACATGTCTTACACTGATGTATTACTTTGCTGAAGTCTGTGCTTTAAATCAGTTTGATACATCATTCAGTCACCGAGTATGGAAAATATGGAGAAAACAAAAGAGCAGATTTCACCAAGAAAGGCCGCTCCTACCGTGCATTTACAGACAGTGTTAATTACACTATAAATAAAAAACTCTTTTAATTGATTTTGCTGTCAACTAATAGCCGGGGAATTGTGGTTTTTCTTGTTATTCTAAATGAGAACCTACAGTCAGAAATTACAATGACAATCAGTCACAAAGCTGTGTTCTGGCTGATCATTCCCTCCAAAGCAACCATTTTAACCTGGCTGCCAATGCTTTGGGTTTATCGCCAAGTTGACCACAGCCCAATAGTCTCCATTGGGGATGGCTGAGTCTGTTCTCCACCAAAGAATCTATTTCCTTCAGATTATTGCAGGGTTTGGCCCAGTCTCCAACCTGTGAACAGGCAGACCAGCTGTCCTTGTAGGCCAACAACACTCAGTGGGCAACACACGGAGCTTCACTGCTCACCGAGTGAAAGTACCCTTCAACCTGACATACCTGGGCCAAAGGCTGTCTTCTCATTAAAAGCCATTTGGATAAAATGACAAGTACCCGCCTGCTGTGTCTGTCAATTTGTTCCTCCTTGCCTGACCTCTTTTGTGTGTGAAAATTAAATTCCTAAATTAAACTTGGTGACGTGCCTCCAGCAGAGTTCTCTTTGCTGAGGAAAACAACAAGTACAAGGTACCTCAAACCTTATCTATTATTCGCTCAACACAAAACACCCTGCCATCTCCACTACTGGGTTTGCTGCCTTGAGCTGAGCTCCACAATAATGTGTCTGTTCTTGGAATTAATCAAAGACTCAGTTGTTCTCAGTGCTGGTGAACCACTGCTCCTGTATTTGAAGTAAATGTTAGCTTTTGGACAAACTGGCTTTGAACAAGTTCTGAACTGGCAATAGCTGTACTCAAGTTTGTTTGTTCAAAACCATCACTGCGGCCCCGTTGGCTAAAACAATCTGATATGATCATTGCCCAAATTCTAGTAGAAGCCTCTGAATTCCCACACCTACAAGTGTGTTCTGACAGGGTAGCTGAGGGTTTGTGTGCATGATAGTAGTCTTAATTCAGGAGATAGTTTTTCCTTAAGAACGACGGTTTAAAGTACTGCCATTTAAGTTTGAATGAACTTTTTATACATTGGGCTTAAAGTATAAATGGTTCTATAAAAGTATTCAGTGATGAACTCTGTGAACGAATCACCACAAAAGTCATAAGGCTGCTCTGAAGCTTTTCTGAAATACAGCACTGGTCTTGTCCTTGGGCCAAGAAATGACAGTTGTGGGAGCTGAGTGTGGATGCAGACACTGATTTCTTTCAATGGGCTATCATTAGAGTTGGGGGCTTTTTGCGACCACTTTTTAAGCTGCAATTGTCAAGAATTAATACGAGAAGTTTGGGAATAAAGCACCAGCACTAGGACGTGGTTATGTGGCTTTTTATCCACATAACCAGAGAAAAAATAGGGATGTCTCAGTTTATGTGAAATGAATATATACCAACTATTTACTTAGGGCTGGGCGATAAAACAATAACAATATATATAGAAAATTCAATTCCTTCAATATCAATAGGAAATATGGTCAATATGATTTTCGATAGTTGGCATTCTGCTATGTTTTGGTAGACTATACAAATGGCCAATGAAAAGGGGAGTTTCTCCAGGTCCGCTTGATGCTGAACCAATCGTGCTGAATTAGAACCATAGAAGCAAACAACTGCGTAGCAACAGGCTGCAGCCACATGCAACCATAGCACTTTAACACGTGAAGCTGACAGCACTGTCGGGGAGAAAAAAAAAAAAGAGTGCTACCCCCGGCAGAAATGCAGATGAAGGCTCAACAGGTGACCACATCATCGACAAAACTGGCACAAAAATGTCAGTGGTGTGGAGGTATTTTGTTTTTTTAAGGTCGGACATGAATCAGAGTAATGTGCTCTGCAAATTTTGTCAGGACCTGTTAAATTTCATTTAAGAGTAACAGGGAACATTTAAGATTGACAAGTGAATTTTTTATATCATGATACATATCGATTGATATGAAAAAATATATTGTGATTAACTTTTTCCCATATCGCCCAGCTCTATGTTTACTGTAATAAAGCTACAAAGAAAACTGTGTGATGGTTGGTGATCATTTGACATAAACAGCCCTCAGACAACGAGGCTTCTTTTCCCTCTGATGACTCATATACAGTGTTTATGGTTGCACAGTGCTGATCAAAATGTTTAGGGGCCTCGTTCTCACACTCTTGATTTTTTTCAAATAAATATGAATGACATTTCACTTTGATTTCAGCATAAGTCTCTACTTTGAAATTATGCAGATAGATTTTTAATGATTTAAAGCATATTTCCAGAGGTTTCAAGAGAAGGGTATATAGGTTACATAAATTGTGCTTTCAGCTGATGCTAGCAGAGACCAGCTTTCAATGCTGACAGTATCAGAAGAAAGTCTCATAACCACGTCTGAGGGTATTTAAGCAAGCAGTATTAAGAACCGAAAGGAGAGCAGAATCAAAGAAGAAGACGTATTGGTAAACAAGGGGTTAAAGCCCTAGCAGTGTCTAACCTTGACAGCTGGGAAAAGAATAAAACTGCACCACGCAAAGCATTCCCCTGAGCCTTCTTTACCTAGCCGTGCTGTGGAGCCCCAGCTTCTTTAGGATGCAGGCCCAGCATATTGACTAGCCCATCATGCCTGTAAGACCCACTGGATTAGCTGGCCCTTTGAGCTCTGCCTCCCTCTGCGAACCTTGCACTCAGCACACACTGTAATGAGAGCTTTGGTAAGACCTCTGCTGAGGTAAACACTCCAAAAAAAATGTGCTCGTCTTGCTCATTGATTTTTATCAACTAACACGCGTACTTTGGGCCAGTTTCAGATAAAGCAGTGAAAAATTTTATAATGCAAGTTTGTACTTTGTGATTCTGCCACAGAGGCTTTTGCCTGTCCCTAGGCAAGGATAGAGCTGAATAGGATGAAAAGAAGAGTGAAAGGCGGAGGAAAGAAAGAAAGAGAATGTGTGAAAAAGAGAAAGGGACAGAGAGGGAGAGAGAAAGAGATGAAGGGAGGATTGAGATAATGGTTTCTCCTGCAGCACAGAATTGCGACAGACTGGGTGGAACAGCTTAGATCAATTGTTGCAATTGTGCTCGTTCGTGGGCGTGTTTAGGATTGTTTTGGCCTATCTCTGTGCTGTGAATAAAACCAGTAGGCTGTAGTTAATGGTGTGAAAAATGGCATCCATCGAAAAGCACAAGCAGAGTCCAAGAATAGCTACATCATTTTATTGTGTCAAAGCATACTGTACGCAGAGGAACAGCTTGCTCTCCATTAGGCCGTCAGACTGACTGCGTCTTCAGCCAGGTGTAGATCCCAGTTTTTAGGATGAGTACATTTGTATGGAGGGCTGAAAGGCATAGCAAGATACACACACACAAAAAAAAGTAATCTGATTTTGAAGGTTTGATGTGTTATTCTCCTTTTCTCCCTGGTCTGTGAAAGTACTCAGGGCAGCACAGGACAACCCACTCAAAACCATAGCAGCTTAATCCAGCGACAGTCTTAGGGACTTTGTTAGACTGAGGGATCATCAAGAGGATTTTTGTCCTCTCTTTTATTTTTAGCCATAGTCTGCGATGCATCATAAATCAACCCAGTTTAAAATAAGATTGCACAGCTTCAACAAAGCCCAGTATCTGGATCCTCTGGCCGCAGAACAAAAATTTTCAGATATTTATGATGCATATAGCTAGTCCGTTCAGACTCAAGCAGACACTGGCAAGTGTTTTCAATATGTGGAGAGATGAGCTGCTGAATATTTGAGTGACTTTGGATTCCCAGCATGATTGTTATTTGCAGATTAAGGGTTAAATACAAAATTTTCACGACTTTGTCTGGTGGAGAACGTATTTCCCAAGCATTTTACGGAGAGTATCTATCAAAACATAATAAATCATCTGAACGTTACTAGAAAACAATCAGTCCAGCCATACAGTGCACTTTACATCCTTTTTTTCAGTTACAACCTTTTCCTGAGCAAAGTTTTTGCTGTGTGTGAATGGAAGTGTGGTGTTTTTCCAGGACAGGCAGAGGACAAAATAATGACACTGACACTGGAAACTTTTTCAGGGTGTATCAATTTTGGCACAAACACTTGCTAGGTTGTTCTGTCTCCACTTAGACCGGTTATATTGATTGTGTCAAAGTCCAGACAGCAAAACCCCAAGTTAAAAAACAAACTGTGTCCTTGCTTTTTTTGTCTTTTTTGTTTGTTGTGTAGATCTCAGTATTATTGTCATGAATGCTACTATCAGATATGTAAACAATCTCTAAAGGGAAATTTTGACATTTAGGATAACCATAATTTTTTATGTGTTTGTTTATATCTGTGTGACCGACATGGAGATATCACTAAAAAATGCATACACAGTAAAAATACACCTGGAAACCTTCCCTTTTCCTTTACTACAGTAAATATATGCTGGGCAGCATAAAGCTGCTTTTTTTAATAACAGCAATTATAAAATGTTTATTTTACTGGCCCAAATCAGAGCAGCTGTGTTGTTCTGAACACAGTCATGCAGCACAAATTTGCAACAGGTGCTCAGAAAGAATAACCTTAAATAAAACTGGTTTAAGGTTTAGGTGAGTTTGGCAGCAAAGTTAAATGAGATCTTTGACATTTTTGGGATCTTTATACACCAACCAGCAAAAACATTTTGAACAGCTGGTCAATCTCATGCAGTCTCATACAACAGCTCTACTATAAATGTCACTTTCAAAAGGCTTCTTAATACATACTTTTGTTAACATGATCAGAGAAGTAATTGACTATTTTACTTGATATTTATCATTTAAGATGTTGTGGCTGCTGGTAATGGTGTACTGAACTGTGTTTGTTGAGAGGTATTAAATATTTTGTTCACAAACATGAGGGGGAGAAAAATAATGCAAACACCTTTCTGTAAAAAGCTCCCCTCTTCAACTTCAACACTTCGTTTAAAGAACAACTCTCACCTGTCTGACCACATCAACAAAAATAAAACTGTTATGTTTCAAAATTAGTCACTTAAATTATCACCAAGTAGTTTTTTCTCTCTTTTTCTTCTTAGTAAAGTAGTAGTACAACACTCAGCAACAAAAACTCAAACTCTCCCAAAAATAATCTTTTCTCTCTTTATGATGGTCATCTGATAGGCATCTATTTTCCTGGTTACAACAGTGATAAATCCCACCCCATCTATTTTATGGTTGGTTGTCTGGAGTAGCAAAAGTTGCAGAAAACTTCTGGGTAAAAATGCTTAGAGCAGCTGCACATACACCAAATACTCTGAGTGTCTTGAAAAAGACACCGGGCACAGCAGTTTCTCTTGATGTGAACTAAATTGACTTCCATAACATCTTGCTTTAGTGCGAGATAACTGCAGCTAGAGCAAGTTGGCTAAAATTTACCCCTGATCTTCTTTCCGCCCTTCTGTTAGAAGCATTCAGAAACCTTAAAAAAAAAACAGCAACTAAAGGGAGGATGACGCAGAGTTGTACATTTATCAATAATATTCATGGCTTCACCCGAATGTGTAATTCTAAATAGGAAAGATGGAGTGTCTCTGGGACACACAGGTATCAAGTTTACTGCAACCTTTCAAATTGGAATGCCTCAGAGACACAGGATACCTATAACATCATTGCCCAGGTAATCATCATTTTTGGGCTGGTTGGTGTAGTCTGTGATGTTTCTGCACTTTAGTTTTTAGGTTCAAGGACTGAAACAACATTTTAAAATTTTTATTTAAAAAAAAAAAAGGAAGAGGTAAAATGTGCCATGTTTTATATTTCGTCCTTCGTTTTGAAAATACAGGAAAAAAAAAAAAATCAACATAACTGCACCCGTAGAATTTGCATTTTTGTCTCATACTTCTGGAGGAGAATATCAAGTTAATGAAGAGGCAATGCACTTTGCAATATGAACAACAAGACTCCAGAAATGACAAGATATCGGATTCTTTTACAGAGATTAGTTTCAAATCTGCATAATTAATGCCAACTAGACAGAGATCCATTTAACATCTAAATGTTTTAGTGAGGCGCCTGTCTGTCTGAGAATCAAAGCAGGGCGTCTGAGCTGGGCCCCAGTTGTCACAATTAATCTGCATCTTGGACCTGAGTTTGACCGGACGTATTTGCTTCTTGTTCTCAGTTTTGAAGAGTACATTTGAGTTTGCCATTAGATTAATTTAGTACGCTCTGTGAGTGATGAGTTAGGGTACTGATATCATTACCCTCCAGAGACTTTGACACCTTAGGGTAGCAATGGTGGTGACGTTAATTGTCAAGAAAACAGTGAATCATCACAGACTCGAGTTATTTCGATTTTAACAGTGAAAATGAGCCAAATATAACCAAGTGACGCACAGAGCAGCAAAAGGGGTGAAACACCTGTTCACTCACATGGCCTGTTAGCATGCTGGGAATTTGGTGCATAAACACAGGAACTGGAAACCATGACCATCGGAGGGCAACCTGCATTTTTTTCCCAACTGTACCTTTGTCCCTTCATTATGTTGCCAGGTGGGTAGCCGTGTGCTCGCTAATAGACTTGTGGTGCTAAATTGTACCACAGATTACAAACCAAAGGCAGCAGCCCTTCCAACATGAACTCAGTATTGTGCCAGTCAGGGTTGATGGAGCAGGTGCTGAAGCTGTAGGTGAATAAGTCTGCCGTGACGGCGACTTAAACCCAAAGTATGACTTCAGAGCATGTGTGTTTCTTAAAGTTTAAGATCAGATAAAGGTGACTGTTGTCGTAGTGTTAACACTCGGCTCACCACAGTCACTGTGTTTTCCTGTAAGGTGGAGCACCTTTACAGTCTCTGACGCCGGGATGTAAAAACTCTAAAGCATCCCTGTTGTGTGCCTTCAAAGACAGCCCTCTATGTGTCTGGAGTCTCCCTCCTTCTTGTTCTGTTATTGCAGAGGAAGCTTACACTCTGCCAGCGGCACAGCATGGAGATCTGCCTCCACTGTCATTGTCAATACCGTGAAAACACGCCATCCAACGCAGGGCAAGGTAAGATGAAAGAGGCACAGCAGAGAGGACAGGCTAATTATTCAGACACAGAGCTAAGAGCAAACAGGACAGACGATGTCAACAAACTGTTTGGATGATTAATGTTTTTTGTCATCGACGCAGTCACCTGTGCAGTTGGCAGTTTATGGCCAAGACGATGAAGACTGAGATTTCTGACTTTTATGCAAAGTAGACGATGCGGCAAGGTCTAAGAAGGGTGAAAAATATAATTAGACTTTTTGGTCTGCTGTTATTCTCAAGGATATTAACCGGTGATGGGACTGCAGCTTGGTGTGGCTGCAGTGGACCGTGTGCTGCAGGTTCTGATTAGAGAGAAAAATCCTAATTATGATAATGCAGAAAGCAGATTGCGAAAAATGAATTCAGTGATAATTCTATAGATGTACATGCATTGGCAAATCCTGAAGGTTAATAGCCCTATAAAGTACGTTCTTTGTTTAACACCATACAGGGCCAACCGTTTCCTGGTAGTCTTTCAGGATTTCTTTTATCCTTGTCTGGTTTTATCTGATTAACGGTTTCATAGCAGATGTTCGCGTCAGGTCCTGATCCTCATTCTTTAGATGTTAGGTATCAAATAGGCTTTTGTTTATGGTGTTACATGGTTATGGTTCTTAAAACGTTAACAACACAGGCCTTATTATAAGCCTCTTAGGATAACTCGATGACCTTCCAGCTGTTTGGCAGAAGCAATTTGAATACATGACATTATTACATCAAGTAATCCTGGAGTTATCTTTACCTTACACTGCATGTCAACACAAATCTCTTTCCCATGACAAACTAACAAGCTGGTTTGATTTGTAAACAGCTGGTAATGTATTTAAAATGACTGCTTATCTTTATAACATGGTAACACATGTATTTTTAAAAACAAGGCAATAGAAATATGACAGTGTTAAACAATAAGATCATTGACATATAGTGAATCAATTATTTGATTAACAGAAAATAAATGTCTGCTTTATTCGATCGATTCAAATATAAAGATCAATACAAAAACCTTTCGTAATAATAATGTAATTTGTGATCACTTTGTCTCCAGAAACTGTAGCCTGACCCTTTATAAGGTCATACACTCCTGGACTAAAATCACGTACATGTAAGTGTGACTGACTGACTTAATGTGCACACTGCTCTATTCCCTCAGCGCAGATACCTCCTACATCGTACATCATGTTCAATACAGTCCATTGTGGCTGCATGGTTACGCAGTTGATCTTTAACCGCGGGTAATCTTTTCTTCGTCATCAATGACTCACATGTGCATCAGTGAATAATGACCATGCATTAGGTACATTGACTTCCAACACTGAAAAATCTGTATTTGCATGCTGTGTGTGGTAAAGTATCAAATAGCTGAAGAGTCTGACAAGTAAAGCCGCTCTGCTGTCCTCATTTCAACTATGACTCACAGTTTTGTGGCTCCCAGTGAGTGAGCACAGATTATTCTGTGGAATTGAGATGCTTGATAGAGATACAAGGACTGAATTTTTGCACAGGAAAAAAAATGCATTGTTTTTTTTTTTGTCTAGGATAAGTTATTATGACTTATTTTGTTTCGGTTGTTGGCAAACACGGATGATGAATGGTTCGTTCCACTCTAAAATTCACTGTTTCGTCCTTGTTCTCTCCAGTTGTTTTAAATTCAAAGCAGTCCATCAATGGTTTTAATGGTCAATGAGTACAGTGTGACGATCAATATAGAGTGCGGTCCAGTGTGAAGAAGAGGCAGTTGCAATTTGTGTGTAACCAAGGACTAAAGGTTATGCATGTGTACAATGACAAATACAAGGCTACATTTTCTGGCACGACCGCACAAAGAGCAAACTGCAGACTGTGGGCACCATGATCCAACTGTGTGTGCATCTGTGCTCTGCCAAATGCAAAACTATGTAAGAAATTGACCTGAAGTGTGCAGCCTGTCCTTGTTTGGCTTTAAACCCTCTGACATGGATTAGATGAAGGAGACATGAATCAGGGTTGAAGCTGGGATGACGACCTACATGTTGGCTATAAAGGTCAAAACTGGAACTATAACTCCTGGAATCAGCTGTTCGTGTTGGCACAGAGGGCAGCTTGATGGAGTGCTTTGCCCATAGTCAGGACTTTCAGAGTCAGGTGAGGGTGAAGACACCCGGGTCATCTATTGTTGCGTTGGGGAAGGGAGTTTTTGTCAGCACAACACAAATAGGACAAGGGTATATGCCAAGGTAGTGGGTATCAGTTGCAGCAGTCTTATGTGTTTTCGTGTGCGGGGGAAATATTTACAGACAAAATATGATGAAATCGTGCAGAAAAAATGAAGCAGGGTGAAAAAACTGAGGAAAGACGCAGCCAGGGAGAGACTGATGAAGGAAAAAAAGAGACAGACAGACAGAGAAGAGGCTTATCTCTTGGCCTGCAGACAACAGTTCTTTTTCTGAGCTGGAGTCTTGTGCTCTGGGCCCCTGGGCACGAGTCTTCCTCTTCGGGGCCTGCGTGAGCCATAAGGTCAGCAGTTCATCTCATAATTCTATGACTGCATGTCAGTCGCAGATGCACGACAATAAAAAGAAGAAAAAAAAAACTTGGTCTAGCTATTTAACACCTGTCATTCCTGCCTCGTTCCTTTCCAGCACGGGGAGCTGACTACTGCGGCTGTTAGCCAAAGCATATTTGCAGGAGGAGCATTTAAGATTTCTTTTTATCCATCTGTGTGCTTTTATGTTAATAATCTTTTCTCAGTACTGACTTATATATAAATTGTGCTGAAAATTCACAAATCCTTTGCCCCAAAGAAGATTCAAAGCCATCTGTCTTGCGTCACTATTGCTTTGCAGAGTCATTTGTAACGACCAAAAATAGCTTTGGTCTACATTTAGTCAGTGACATCTGTGATGACCTAAATGGAAGCGATATTAAATGGGCTGCAAGTAGCTAAATTTGTAGTGTCACATAGTCTTTGAAGGGATCTGTGTTTTCAGCACATCTTTATACCCAAATGATGAAGAAAGACAACAAAAAAATCAAGGGCACTGCGTACATCAAAACGCTGAAATTGCCTTCAAAGCTACTTTACATGAACCAGAGGGCAACCTGCATCCGTAAGTTTCTGTTCTGTGTTTTCAAACGATCCAGATATTAGGACAGAATGTAATGCGGTGCAGCATGACTCACACACAGGACCAATAAGACAGGAGAGAAAAAAATCTCTTGATCTTTGTGGTGAAGGGCTAGAGGAAAAGCAAAGGAGATAAACTAGTTTCCAAATTGGATTTAAATTTTTGACCACAAGAGTTTTTTTTTTTTTTTTTTTTCTTAAAATGAGAACTTTCAGGGACATTTCTTTCAATAGAAGCGTGTTTGCATGGGAAATAACGATATAAAATAAGTACTTTATCCTGCTGTGACTTCCAGGTCTTTCTCAGAGAACTGCAGAAAGTGATTTTGGTCCATCATCCCCTAGATGTTCTGAAGCCACCAATTTTTCGGTGGATTTAGAGAGAATATAAACCACTGACTACTCTAAAGGTAATGAAACAATTAGGAAACAGTATACATGTGGCTAAACACAGGATCACAAAGTCTGCGGGTAAAACAATATCAATTTATTTTGTCAGAGTGTGGCTAACATCAGCAGAGCTATCAGTCCTTTGTGCAGGTTAACATCATCCCACCAAGGCTGGGTACACATTAACTTAAACCATAGCCTTAAACCATAGCTGTGCCAGAGATATAAAGAGAAGACGAGATACGCCGGTGCGCTGTAACAGCCTGCTAAGCGACATGCTTACGTAGCAGCCATCTTGGTGGTGGCATTGTTCATATTAAAGGGAATATATATACACTGAAAGTAAATCATAACTTGTTCATTTCTCATCCCCTTTTTCATGCAGATTATTTTCAACGCAAAAACATGTGCTATTAGTACAGAACATTTAATTATTTTTTTTCAAATCAAATCTTCTGTGTTAGTAGCACGTGTTTTGCTGTTGAAAATAAAGTAAACTGCATGAAAATCGGTTGAGAAATAGATAGATTTATTTTCAATGTACATGCAATACCTTCAATGGGAACGATCCCCCTCCTAGCTTAGCCTCGATATAGGCACCACGCTCAAAGGGGCGTGTCATATCTATGTATTCATATCTATGGGCTGTACTACATCTTGGACACAAAACAATATTGGTACACCAGGCCTGCAATAATATCAGTAATAGTAATAAGCATAAGTGAAGAGTAATTCTGAAATCAGTCAGACAGGTGACAATGTTGAATTTTAAATAATGACAAAAACATGAAAAATGGCTCAGACTGCTATTATTTCACTAATAAAAAACCGGGACTAATATTGCACCCACTCATTAACAGCTCAGATAGTTAATGGAAAAAAAAAATCTAAACAAAAAAATAAAGTACATCATTCCTGGATCAACCCTATCAGTGACAGTGTAGTCAGTGCATCCTGGCTGGTGGTCTAAATGAACTGAAAAATTAAACATCACAAGCTTTTAGCAGCATAATAAATTATTTTTAATCACATTTTGTGCAACTAAAATAACAACAGACTCAAAGCAGACCAGTGTGGACCTGTCTGTTTTCACACCCAAAAATACACCTACTGTACTCTCTCCACCTGAATACAAGATTAATCAAATTAAAGGATGATAACATACAATTAAACCACCTGGGTATCGGTATTAAAACTCTACAATGGAGAAATCAAACAGCCTGTAGTGTGTGAGATGGGGGGGCAGCTCTAGTAATGGGCATGCATTTAGCGACACACTGACAAGCGCTTTCAAACACAGTCACAGTCAGGGTTTTTTTACTGTTTCACCACTGTCTACTTCTTGTGCTCGTTTAATTCTTTAAAAAGGCCATCATAACTCTGAATCAGTTGTTAATCAATTTGTTCAACTTTTGGCAACTTTTGTAATTTCTGAATATAGAGCTGTACATATTGATGCACCATTAATATCTCAAAAACACACACAAAAAAAACTTAAGGCTTTAACTACAATAAAAAATTGCTTAGTCATGCACTTCGGATAAGCATTTATTAAACATGCCAGCATCAGGAAACCCACAAGAGCTACATGAAGTAAGTGTAACTGAAACAAAGCTTAGCTCTTCTGGCTTCTGCTATGGTCTGCTTAGGTTTTTACAGTTGGTGCGTCTGCATCTGTACCTGCAGTTGTTTTCATTCATGTTGATGATCCATACTAACACTGTCTCTGAATAAAAGGAGTGGAATTGGAAAAACATCTGAAGAGCTACTTAAAAAAATGCCCCTAATATTTGAGGATGACCGCTGTAATGAACTTCAGGAACAAATCTAATCTAAAATATAAAACTGATCTAAAAATTAAAAATCAAATTAAAATGTCCTTCTTTGATGCAAATATGCGTCTTAGACATGGTAAAATGTGTGAAAATTGGTCTGATACATGAAAACTTCTCTGAAAACATAACAATCTGGGGAGGCAACATGTTCACTCTTTACAGAGAATTATGTGCTGTGAGACAATAAAATTCCCAAATCAATTAAGGAAGTCTTGGCAAGCCTGTGAGCTTTAGCCATATTTCCCCACATTTTCTATGTAAATGAAAACCTAATTTCCCTACTTATCATACCAATTTGCTGGGATCAATGCACCGTCTCTCTGTTTGGGACCAAGTCCCACAGTGTTTTGTATCCACAGCTTAGTTGCCATTATGATGCCCTACTTTGATGCCTCCCTAAAAAGGATCTCATCCTCTTGGAGCTTCATTTTCTTTCACTTCAAGCTGTTCCCACTGATTGTTTCAGAACTTCAGACAAAATGTTGAATAGAAACTTAATAGCTAAAGATAAACTCTTTTTGACATTTTCTTTGTCATTGAGGCAAAAAAGAAGCGATCAGCAGCAGAGTGGAGTATCTCTCTCTTTCTCTTTCTCTCTCGAGAAACACATTTTAACAGTGAGACACATGCATGAAGCTGTACTTTCCAAACTTTTTCTTTGTAGTCTACTTAAACATCAGCAGGAGACAGTGTGACCTCTGCACACAACATAGCCCAGAATATAAATCTGCAGCTCCATTAACTGATGCCTGGAGCAAAAAGACAAAAAAAAAATCTGCTGCTTTGACATAGCATGATTTTGTGATGCTCCTGGATGAGTAGACCCCTGAGGAAATGTATCCTGTCAAACAGCCTCTACTGTACTTGACCAGATGCAGAGACCATAGCCCCTCTCGGCACCCGGAAAGTGACACTCTTACCTCTCCCTCGGTCTAATTGCATGGACACAACATCGGCTGTTGGGGGAAAACTGTTCTGAAGCCAAATTCAGCAGGAGAGGTAGCAGGGACTTGATGCTCTGAAATTTGTTCCGACAGTCCCTGCATGATTGACAGATTGATAAAGGTTGACTGTGGCCTCCGCTAGCAGCAGGTAGATGGGCAGTTTGCCCCGCCTCCATGGGGCTCCAGGGAGGTTTGCTCCAGGATAAGAAGTGGAAAACGGCTCAGGAAACATTTAGTGTTGCATTTGAATCTGGTTTTAGCTGCTGGTGGTCAGGCAATTAGATATACACAGTGCAAAACACAGCTTCATGCTGTTCTCAACCCACTCCTGCCCGCCCGCCTGAGCTCTATACATATGTATGAGCGTGAGCTCAGGAAGAGAGGAGAAAACTACCCACCCATACATGTAACTATAACTCTTTAAATACAAGCTGTCGTTGAGTGTTACAGTATTAGTTTCATCATATTATTCGTAGGCTCAAGGGTGAGATTCCTGACTTTTCTATTAATCCCTTAGGGGACAAATTTATGGTGTCAAAGTCACCGGACCTGCCACTCCCTTTCCTCCCATGGCTGTAGCCTTAGTATTGAATTTAAGCCTGCTTATGCACTTGAACACAGAAAAAAGGGGTACCAGAGATCAATAAATGCACCTTCACTTGACAAATATGTTTGTTTGTTTTTATCAGTGAGGCTAGTGGAGGCAGAAGATACACTATTGATCCTAGAACACAGCGAATATCCTTCAGGAATAACAAACTTTGTTGCTCAAACTTAGTGGACATCGGGCGTATCAAAACACAGCAGTATCAGGGGTTTAGCGCACCAAGATCTAGTGCAACCAAGCCTTATATCCTTGAACAAACAAATGATGAATAAAAATTGTTCTAGCCCTGCAATGTCAACAGTTTTGCATTGTAATGAAGTGTACAGAGGTAAATCTGGGATAGCAGCATATTGTCTTAGAATGACTAGCTCCAAATGCTCTAGATACTAAAACCTCTGATCCATGAAGATTCATAAATTGGATTTTATTTTCTACTCATGTACATCTCTCAATATGCACGTCCTTTGTCTGGGCTCCAGCAAATAAAAAAGCGGCAGATGATTCCAGCCTGATCATCTTGTTTTTCTAAAAGGAAAGCAAAGAAAGAGAAAACAAACAATTGAAGGTTGCCTCGGGTATCGTCTCTTTGAGGGGCATTGAGCCATTAAAGGCGAAAACAAGCATCAAGGAAGGAAGGAAAAAGGAGCCCTGGCACCGCTAACAACATCATCACTCAGCCCACCCACCCACTTCTTACCCGCCTTTCACAGCACATTGTCAAAATAACTGTCAGAAGTGTTTCATGCCTCACAACTGCTGGTGAAAATGTTGGACTTTGGGAGGTGCTATGTGCGAGGACAATAAAGAAAGAAACAATCTAGCATAACAGTTCAATTTGGAAATATCATTTATATGATGAACAGAGCACAACAGCGAGCCTTAGCGACTCTTTCCCCAGAAAGACTCCATTTTAAAGGAAGGGAGGGATTTTGTGATGACTATCTTGTTGTAAACTCCAGTGACGGCCAGTGGCTGTATTTTCTTTCCATTTTATACTTTATTGGATTTCTTTCTTTTATCCACGTTTGCTGTATTTAGTGCTGATGGTGTCCAATAAGAAGGGGGAAAATAGAGCAACAGATTCTCTTAATTCACCACACATACTCCACCTGTCGCTCAAATGATAGATGCCCGCTTTTTTGTCGTGCTCCCTCTCTATATCTCTCTCTCACTTTCCAGCAAGCTAACCATTTATTGCCACTTTCATTACTGGGAGCAGAGCGGTGAGTTTTTGAGATCAGTGACGGGTGTGCGGTGGCTAATGAATCAGGTGGACTGCACTGATCGTAGGAGAATCTGCTTTTACCATCTGAGGACATAGTGATATGTTTAGATTCTTGTCTCTTTCATTGTCACTCTAAACGCTAACTGCCTCCTGAAATATACATTTAAGACGCATAAATCTCCTTTTTAATGCACTAATCTGTTTATTTACAGTGCATATGACAGCTCTGAAGGAACACGTTAGCTTATTTGTTTATTCCTACGACTCATTATAGGCCTCTTTAATGTTATGCTGCTTGGGTGAGCTAATATTATCGACATGGACTCAGACATACAGTAGCAGTGCTGTGTTGGTGCAAGTGTGGCCCAAAGCAGCCTGCCAGCAGCACTGAGGCATGTCATTAGAAACACCCAATCAAGCCCAGACATAGAACTGAAACTCAAGTGCCAGAGTTGTGACCAGAGGCAAAGAAAAAACATAAACACTGGTCCTCATGCAGGTATAAGAGCAGCCCAGGTCCGCTCAGCTGTGCTCTCTCAGAGTTGGAAGGGCGAGTCCATTTTCTTATGGGTTTTTTTTTTTTTTTCTTATTGGTTAAATTTAGACCAGTGTCCTATGCTGCAGATAGAATACTAATCAGGCCAGTGGAAAGCTTAAGAGAGAGCTGCAAGAGATTCACCCCTGTATTCCTCTTCCATTTCTACCGCATTAAAGCTTTTACGCTTTCAGGACACTGTACTTCAGATGTAACCCCGGCCATACGTCAACAGCAGCTCGGAAATATATTGACTACATCTCACGTAATTATGAGCAGCATTTGAAACACCCAAGGCGTTTAGTGACACTTTAAAGTCACTTAATGGGAAGCTGATTTTCACAACCGGACAATCCAAATAAACTGCGACCCATTAAATGAATATTTCATACGCATTTTGATGGGATGTAGTCGGGGCTCTGCAAACATTACCTATTATTTATTGCCCTGCTCACATACTGTGATTTCCTCCCATTTTGCATTAGAGAGTGAATGCTTTTGTGCCCAATCACTCACTTGTTTGACTATATAAATTATTGAGTAGGTACTGTATATTCACATACATAATTCAAGAGTTTGAGATGTAGATGGAATATCAGTATTTGGTGTATTTTTCACTTGATCATATTTCAGAATGAGGGCTGTTTTATACAAATGTACCCAAAGACACTAAAGTAGAAATCTCCCTCAAGTATCATAAAACAGCAGAGTTGGTACTGCACATTTTTTACTGACATGTCAGTCACATGCAGAATGTTACAGACTGTGATTTTTAATAACACACAGTGACACATGGATAATTCATGTGGCTTTAAGTGCTTGCATGGGACGCTTTGCTGGCGACTTAACAGGCAGCAGGTCCATGAGACTTTTACAGCCTTTTTCTGACCAATATTTCTGTTCAACATCCATTACACAGCTTTGCTTCGAAGATTACAAGCAAAACCAGAGGAGCATTTGTGGCTGATGGAGCTTCCCCCCTTTTTTCCACTCTTGAAATTAGAGCAAATGCCGAGTGAAACCACAAAGCAGAGCAAGTGCTGAAACAAGAAATAGCTGTAACTGGGACACACTGGGTGAATATTTAGAGCAATGTACATATTTTAGCATGCCATTCCAGGTCAAAGTAGACGATGCAGATGCTTGCGCTGATTTACCTCTCAATTTGAGGGCATGTGTGTGAAACTACAGTCAAGTCAGGCAAAGTAATGGTATCAATAATATGTCCTTTTTCTGTGATGAAGCATGTGTTATCAAGGGGTATAGTCTCTGTCTAAGTCTGTGTCTTCCTTTTATCACGCTCACTTAGTCCTTGAACTCCCCCGAGCCAATCCAGACATTCCCCTCCGGGTCAGAGTGTGACAGGAGAGAGTATCCAAATGCAAGTGCGACGTTAGCCTAAGTCTTGGAGAATGAAGGTTAAAGAAGTTACAATAACGGAGGAAGGAGGGTGCATAAGACGGAGAAAAGGGGGAGTTTCAAGGTACTTCATCATCTCCAGTGACAAATGCACACAAAGGGAAGCAAAGTCCATGATGTCCACTTACAACCTGCAGCCAGCTGCCAGCTAGCGGTCACCTCGCAGACGTCTGGCCAAGCCCATCTATTAACCCAGAGTAGCTGGCCCCTTTCCAACATCAACGCCTGCGCTTTTAATTGGGCTTGTGTTGTGATGGTGTGTGTGTGTGTGTGTGTGTGTGTGTGTGTGTGTGTGTGTGTGTGTGTGTGTGTGTGTGTGTGTGGTGATTACATTTACATTTTGATCATAACCCAAATGTCCCTCACAGCCTCGGAAACACACTGTGACGATTCCTTTGAATTTCTTTCCATTTTTTTCCTGTCAAAACAAAATTATTTTTAGATATTTAGTTTTGTCTCTCTTTTCTAACCTTGACCTCCCTCCAACACACACATACCTCAGCTGCTGAAACCTGTCGATGCTGCAGAAAGCAGCGGCATCTACATAATACAACAAAACTAATTTCCCTATCTCCTGCTGTTCTTGAGTTCTGAGAAGATGAAAATATTCATTGCTGTTGTCCTGAACACGGAATAATCATCTAGGATTTACGCCTCTTGCTTGTATCAAATTAATTGTATATGGAGAGAGCAGGGTCGAGAGAATATCTCAAAGCAAAGGATTTCACCATGTCATCACACAAATGCATAAAGTAAAACTATATTCCTTGTTTTCGTCTTTTTCATCTCGGTGAAGTCCAAACAACTGCAGCCTCTGCTAGAATACAGAATGCAGCGGGGAGATACTGCGCTGAATTACATATTCACTAATTTTCAAGCTTGTCAGCACGGTGAGGAGAGGGATGGTATGCATTTACATTGAAATGACTACACAAGCCAATATATGATGAGACCACTGCCTTAGGATTATCCCTTTGCTTTGAAGTCTGCATAAACACTTAAGTCACTATCGGAAACTCAACAGGGTTTATTGATAGAGGTCCTCCACTAATACTGTAAAGTAAATAGTATGCATAGCCTACTGGTGTGTTTACTCATAGAAAAGGCTTATATTACCTATAGGTTTCATTATGGATGGAGTAAATAGAGCTGTACTCTGTTATGATTCTTTTCAGGCTGAGGCAGAGAGCTTGAGTGTACCTCAGGTGTGCTGGCAGAGTTCAGGTTTTCCTGTCGTGTTTGATATCATCTTGTTTAGGTTGTAGCCAGCAGGACGAGGATCATGAGGAACTTCCACAATGGAATTAATATTCAGCATTAGCGCTGCAGATATGCAAATCATCTCTTAGTTACCTTTGTTGCAGCGCTATCAGAATCATTTTATTAGCTTCTCTTCAATAATTACATAGTGCTTTGTGTTGCATTCATTTATCTTTATATAAATACAACAAAATTCTTGACTGAGATACTAAGGGTAGGTGTAACAGAGCCAGCGATGATTCATCCCATCTCTTAAGAGCTGTCACCTCATTTAGTGATGAACAATGTCTCAATACAGTTCATATGTGTGAATATGTGAGGCAAAGAACTCAGTGTTCTGATATGATAAGAACTTTGTAATCCTAATTTCAAGGAAAGAAAAGGTTTCACAAGCATGCATGGGAGCTGTTCTGTATTAGTATAAATTTCTATTGTTAGCCGAGGATAGAGCTACAGATTCTGAAAGTTTCCCAGAGGTATCAGATAAGAAAAGCCAACTTGTCATTACTCTCTGTATAAAAAAATTAAATCAGCAAGTTTCCATCTGAAAACTGAAAATGTCCATTCCACCACTTCAAATTAAAACTGGCAAGCTGCGTTTAGTATTTGGACCCTGAGGGAGCAGAGACTCTTGATTGGTGTCAAGCGTCCAAGTCCTCCAAACTGAATGACAAAATCACTGCTCTCCAGAATGACACTCATGAACACTTCTTAATCTGACAACCCTTTTCAACAGCAGAACTTTCCTCAGAGCCTTCCCAAACTGTAAATATTCATCGGTATTGATATATCTATGCAAATGTCAAGGCTTTTTCAGATCTAAAGAACACAATCTATTGGGGCATTACCTCTTTAAGGTTAGAGAAATAAAATGATTTTGGCCAAATTGATAAATCTCTTCAGTTATAATGGCCTTTGTTGGCCATTATAGTTGTATTACTAATCTGACAGTTAGGGCTGGGCGATAAAACAATAACGATATCGAAGATTAATTTCCCTCACTATTGATATAAAACATGGTCAATGTGCTTTTCAATAACTGGCATTCTGCCATGTTTTGGTAGACCATACAAATAGCCAATACAAAGAGGATTTGTGCCGGGTCCGCTTCACGCTGAACCAATCATGTGCTAAATTAGAATCAAGTAGCAAACAACTGCGTTAGTAGCAGGCTGCAGCTACATGCAACCATAGCATTTTAACACGTGAAGCTGACAGCACTGTCAGTGAGAAAAAAGAAAATGAGTGCTACTCCCGGCAGAAATGCAGATGAAGGCTCGACTGATGACATTGTCGACAACAATGGCACGAAAACGTCGGTGGTGTTGAGGTATTTTAGTTTTTTGAGGTCGGCCAAGAAGCAGAGTCAAGTGCACTGCAAATTATGTCGAGTACATGTTCTCGCAAAGTTGGGTCATACCTCAAATCTTTTTCACCACCTGAAGCATTGCCACGCGGCAGAGCACACGCAATGCAAAAGGTTACAAACCCCAAGCAGATCAAGGAGCCCATGGCGCCTGTGCAGCCGAAACAGCCGACCATTCAGTCTGCTTTCTCTGGCGCAACGCCTTATGACAAAACGTCTCAAAGACACAAAGACCTCTCGGATGCAGTAGCTTATTGTATTGATAAAGACGTGCTACCAGTAAGAACTGTTAAATTTCATTTTTTATATCGTAATATATATCGCAATAGACTGATATGAAAAATATATATTGCGATAAACTTTTTCCCATATCACCCAGCCCTACTGACGATTAAGGTAACAGAATAACCATGATGTGCTGTCACCCTGAGCATCACTCTTTTGTGCATTTAGCTCAGTATCAGCTTCACCACACCCCCTGTTGATGGACAGGAGACTTAATTGAGACTGCTGGAGAGCAGTCAGAAAGCTTTGTCACTCCAACATTAACGCCTCTCAGTTGGGGAGCACTTATTTCTTTTCTTTCTGACTACCAGGGAACAATATTAGTGCTAAAATTACATCTATTCCAAATTACAATGTGTACTTTTTAACTGTCATAACTACTGCAGCCATCACAAAACTTAGACTACACTGAGCTAACATTGCACTCAGGTCAACACATGTTATGACACCACAAGTGATGGTCATGCTGAGAAGAATAAGACATACATAACCACAGCAGCTCCACCAGGATGAGCAGAATGACCAAGTCACGGTAAAGGATCGGACAGCGTGGTAATACAAGAGTGCAAATAGAGAAACGTGCCGCATTCATGAGCCCAGAAAAGGGAGGGGTTGACAGTAAACCCTGTAAATCCATTTGGTTTTTCAGACATGGAAGGAGAACAGAACTGACAATAGCTTGAGGGGCCAGTGCTCCATGGAGTGAATACCAGAGCGGAGGAGCGGAAAAATAAATAAAGAATGTGTCACCTAGTGGGAGGAGGCACCGAGGCAGGATCTGTCAGAACTCTGCTGCTGTCTGCAGATTAGATCTGGGGCTATTTAAAGAGGGAGAGCACGCCAGAGCCCCCCGACGTTAGTGTCCACGCTGCACCCGCCACCACTCTGACATCATTGGCAGCCATCGCCTTGTGACAAAAAAACATGAAGCATAAATGATGGCAACAAAGGGGGTTGGGGAGGGGGACATTTCCCTGTGCCGTGACTGACCAGGTCACGTTGCATGTTCTCTGCATCTGTGTAGATCCACCGCAGAAAAGCCAAGGTCACTGGAGGGAGGACCGCCTGCTCATGTCACAGAGGCAGTCGGGGCTGCAGCGCACTATTTTAAGGGTTATTGTTGACCTATAAATTAAATTCAGCAACCCTAAGGTCAGGCATGTGAGCTGCCATTAGAATAATCACAGTTTCCTATCAGGATCAAAGGAGCAGGATGCAGCCTGGCTTGTGCTGTGTACATATCTCTTGTGAGTGTATGACAGGGTGTTTTTATTTGAGAGGGAAAAAAGAGCTAGTGATTGATGCATGTGTTTGCGTGGGTGTATGAGTATCTGTCAAAAGATATGAAACTGGCTGTGTATGGGAGTGTGTGTGCGCGTAGAGCTACTGTAGTTTTGTGGGTTTCCATCACTGGTGTGTGTGTGATCTTATGCGCGTGCATGTTGTTTTGCTTGTCTTATGTCCTCTCAGAGTAGATTGATTAGATAGAAGGCTGTTGGCGATGCCCCACTGTGTGTTTGGTCACATCACTCTGACAGTGTGTGATGTTTCTCTTCCCAAATGAAGCAACATTAGCCCAGTCATGTTTGCCTCCCAAACACGAGCCAAGGATGATGAAGCTATGTGCACGACCGAACTGTAAGGCCTCATTTACCCCGTGATACCTCCTCTCTCTTCCCCGCTCCCTCTTGCTCTTGCGCTCCTGTCTCGCTCTCTTCCTCCAGGCTGCAGCAGACTGACTCTCTGCTACAGACTGAGTCATTCTAAGCCAGTCAGTTATCTCTCCATCCAGCCCCTCAGATTTCACCACTCCTTTTGTTGTCATCAATCAAAGCTCGGCTCCCAGAGAGAGAGGGAGAAACCCTGAAAGGTGTCAAAACAGTAGCCAAATAAGAACTTGCACTTGTAGGTTATCGCTGCATTTATGCATGGACAAAGAATCCATGGATTATTAATAAGCTCCTTTTTTTTTTCCCAAATCTTTCCATGAACCTTGACAAATGAGTATTTAGAAAGCAAGGAGCTTGCATCAGGCAGTGCAAAGATGAACACAGGTTATTGCATCATGCAGGCTTGCGAACAGGCACTCCAGTGAGGTAGAGGGAGGCAATATGCTGGCAGGCTGAACATGCAGGGGAAAGGGTCAGAGAGGAAGGCAACTGAAGACAATCGAGCAACAGAGGCTCAGCCGAGGAGATCCTCACAAATGTTCCACACAGATGGCTCACAGATGAAACATCCATACTCTACCTCTACCTGCTAATTATATGCTGTGCCTGACTTCACACTTTCTCCTCCCTGCCAATGCCAACTTTATTGAAAAGATGAATATGCTTTACATGGAACAATACATCTCCATTCTTCACTCCTTCCAATTTGTGTCAACACGCAGTACAATGGGCTCACTGTTTATGGACCGGCAATTTGAGGCGTGAAAGCGAGAGATGAAGTGAGAGGAGAAAAGGAGAGGAAATTGCCTCTCCTGTCCTTCACCTTTGCTGTACATCGCTCATTTGTTTGTGGTAATTGGGCCTTTTAATGTCGCAGGAGGATGCAGGTAAGGAACCCTGCTGTGTTATGTGTTTTTACTAACAAGACAGTGGGGCAGCACGTAGCTGACAGGGGGAAATTTGATGGATGATGAATGTAACAATGGGCTGTGTTCCTAGATGGCTGCCATTGACTTTTTATTTACATCTACCTTTTGCAACATAAACACTCAGAATTTATCCATTTTCTGATAGCTGACCACACATTTGACCGCTGAATTTACACAACTGTTTGCATCATTTAACAACGTATTTATATATCATTTTGTTGCTTTACTTGTCCCTGTCAGTTTACTTTCTTGACAAGAAGTGACAAAACTTAGTCCAACAAGTTGTAGAATAACATTCACGAAGAGATAAAATACTGCCCTAGTTAAACTGATTTTTTTTGTCCTCTCAGTTTGGTAAGATTTGTTTACCAGGCTCCTCTTTTCTTGCCGGAAGGGCTTGTATGAGTGAGGTAGCACTCCTCCACACACCACCATGTTTTCCTGCCAACTCTGCATCCTATAATTATCAGGAGATACATACACACAGAGAGAGAAATAGAGAGAGAGAGAGAGAGAGAGAGAGAGAGAGAGAGAGAGAGAGAGAGAGAGAGATCAGAGCGCAATTCAAGAGAAACTTTAGGAGGAAAGTATGATGTTGTGTTGCTCTGAGGGAAACATATATGCATTTTCAACAGAACTCCAGTTAGCAATCAATGTTTTTGAGCTTATGAGGTAATATTTCAATATGTAATTAAAGAAGCTGATCCATGAACATTGACTAATGTCTGTATGAGACTGCTGATGAAATCCTTCTCAAATGAGAATGAGAAAATAGACGGGCTGTGCTGTGGCAGCATCTTAATAGGGAGCTGTGCAAGCACATCTGGATTTTGAAGACTGAACTCAAACTGAATTTCAATGTAAAACACTGAAATGAGTTTGAAATTATTCTTGCTCTTAGTGGATAAACTTTGGATGGAGCACGAATGAATGAGGGAAGTGATGATCAAACAAACAATATGAGAGACTTAGCGTTGAGAGGGAGAAAGAACATCAGTTAGTCAGGTGTTTTTATATTCTCGGTTACTTGTTGAAATTTCAACATTGTGGTAGGGATAGGAATTGATAAGATTTTATCGATATCGATGCCATTATCAATTCTGCTTATCAATAAAATTCTTTAACAATTCCCTTATCAATGCCTTTGTTTGATTAAAAAACGTAGATTATAGGTTTTTGACCGTTAACTAAATTTTTTATTGAGTCTCTAATAACAGAAACAGATGTATGCCACCTTCAGTGAGAGTCTAAAAATGATCAAACAAAAATGCTATTTGTATAGCATTTCTGGCATGCATTGTGTTTATGTTGACACAGTACATATGTTAGGGTGACAATATTCTGAATCCCCAAAAAGAGGACACTACTACGCAAAGCGGACTTGTGTGAAGAATTTGGAGGGTTCTTTGGTTCAAGTCAAGTGTTTTTTATGCGCTTCTCACTCAGTTTAACGTATATTATTCAGAAATTTCCAAAGACAGTGCATGTGTGCGTCGCGTCAGTGGCTTTGCTTAGAAGTGCGCGGAGAGGCAGAACTGCAGAGAGCATTGATGTGCTGCACTGTTTTATAATGAATGAATACACGTCCTGGACATTTGAAGGATTTTATAAACTCCCCCCCCTAAAAGAGGACATGTCCTGGTTAAAGAGGACGTATGGTCACCCTAACATACGTACCTTCCATGTTGTGCTGAGATGGAGCAGCAGAGGCATGGAAAAAGGAGAATACATGTGACTCTTTAGATTTGATGCCATTCCCCGTTGGCAAATGTTTCAGCATGTTGCATGTTGTAGTATTTCAACTTTGCATGTTATTACTTCCCGACAAACGTTGCACTGTTGTCATCTTTCTTTGTAAAATTAAGCCACGCTTTAGCTCTTCTCTGCCTTCTTTTGCCTACATGTTTTTTTCTCTGTCTGTGCTCCCATTCGCGTTGACTGGCACTCGCGAGACCCTTTTTCAAGGCACCCGGAAGAAATGAATCGTTAAGGAAATTATTAAGATGAAATGTAAATGATGTCGGAGGATTGAACCATTTAGAACCGGTTCTTGTTGAGAACCCTACATTGTGGTAACAGGAATATCAGGGTGCTTGGCATTAAAATGCAGCAAATGTAGACCTCATATAAATTCAGGACATGCATGCAGGGTTGGAGTGCAGGCTCCGTATTAGACCTCTAAACATCATTTCCTGGCTTGGCTTCTTCAAAAATATCAAACAATAATCAGAATTTAGCCCACCCCCAGAGATAAGACTCTAATTGTTCTATCAATACCACAGACAGCCCAGTGGTGGTCAGCGGCCGACATCTCACATCATCACTGATTTTTCTTGTACCATCCTGGAATACAGAAAGATTAGATCACGCCCAACACCTCCACCATCTGTCACTACCAGTCTCTGCAGTAAGTTCTTACCTCACACGAAGGTGCAGCATTTATTTCACAGCTCATCTCATTTCTAACACTGAAACAGCCAAGCTAAAAATAGGCTCAGAGTTCAGATAATGACAAAGAAGGTCATTGCCGGCCTTGCTATCTCAGCGAGGGCTGGCAAGAAGCCGGCTGATTGTTCACTTTTAGAGTAAGGGACAGCAAACTGTTAGGAAGACTTAACCAGCGCATTACAGCCAGATTTGCTGACATGTGTCACCCTGATGATCGATTGCCAGAGGGAGATTCTCTGCAACATTTTGGGTTCTGTTTAACAAGATGCAATGTGTGGGTGGGTGGACAAGAGCGCATCTATAAATAGAGAAACCGGTAAAAACGAGGGGGTGATGGAGGCAGGTATGTGCGGCAGCCAGATGGTGTCATGTGGGGAATATCTCACAGTGATTTTGTTTGCAAATAGGTCTCTGTGAAGTTGCCGGCTCCTTTCCTCCAAAATGCCTGCTGTTATAGGTAGAGCTTTACGAACTGCCGTATCTGATAAAGGTGCTGCAGACTCAAAGATGTCCTGCCGCTTGCCAGGGAGAGAGTGGAAGTGACGCACTGTGACAGGTTTTGTCACTCTCTGAGGCGACCGCCCTACAGATTGTCACAGATAGAAATGGCAGAGCCCTGGAAGCAATGACAAATTGTTTTTTTAGAAAAAGAAGTGGGAGAGCGAGACATGCCAATATCTTTGGCCTACTTCAGCAAGGTGGTGTAAAGAGATGGGAGAGCAACATCGCTCAGGATCTTTGTTGTCACTTCCTATAAATGGTTGTGTCAGAGTCGTGACCCTCTGGGGAAGGTGCTCTCTCACTGCCGACGGGAACCCAAACGGCACATCTGCTTTAAGTAGACTACAGACTGCTGATTGTCACAAGATTAATCGATATCCTTGATTTGCATGAGGAGAGCAACTTACTTGAATGTGAAATTTCTTCTTTTCGCTCTTTTTGTCCAAATAATCAGTGAGCTTAAAGTCAGTGTAAGAAACTTTTAATATGTGTTGATCTTAGCGCCTCCTGTGGACAAAGCAGTATTCGCTTATCTAGTTCTCTACTTCCTCAAGTCACTATTTTTGACACACAATCTGACTCTTGACTGTAAAATGATTCATTTATTGTGAATTTACAATGTGGAAAATGAAAAACTAAGGCTGTCCTCTACTGCTGGGCTGACAACTTCCTTATTGTCTTGTTGTCTTCCATCTTGTCACTGATGGCCTTGTTTGCTTGTGGATATTGTGGATAGGCTTCTATATGAATTTCACGCTAATTCACAAAGGATAAAAAATCTTAATAGGAGCGATGAGTGTCATTATTACAGAGTGTGACAAAAACTCTTTTAGATGCATACTAGTATAAAAAGAAAGGTAGATGCAACAGCAATACAGCTGCAAACTTTTAAGATTGAGTTGCATGTACCATTCTATTAAACTAGCTGTAATGGTACTAGAGCAGGGTAATGGAAATCGAGAGAAGCACAACACCAGAGAGTACAACTGGTTGCTGTTAGTTGCTCTGATGCTTTTGGCTCCCGTACTGGGAGTGGAAGCAACCCACTAGACCACTTCTGAAGCAAGATTCTGGTACAACCTCCTTTACGCCCATCCAGTGTGACTGGGTGTTGGACTGACAGCGCTGTCAGACTTGTACAAGCTGACAAAGGAGTTGGGTGTGGGTGGCTGCTCTGCAGGTGAGCTGAATTGACACTAACTGTGCAAAGATTTAAGTCATGTCAGTGCATAAGTATAGACTGATTTAGGACAGACTTAATTTGTACATCACGGTTCTTTCAGTGAAATAAATACACTAGAAGAGAGATTCTTTTTCTGTCATTAAGAGAGGGAGCCATGATCTGCTCCACTCAGTGAGTGCAAGTATGACACTGTGAACACAGTGACGACAGCCAGGGTGATTTCACAGAGTTATGGGCACGTTTTTTTGATTTCCAACTGCTAGCGCCACACCAGATTAAGTTCATTTGGATGTAAAACTCCAAACAAACATTTTACAAGTACACAGTTCCAATCTCCAATTACACCTTATTGGAGTAGCTACAGGTTATGATCTTTAAATGTCTTTTCTCCTCAGGGTTCTCATCCTCTCCAATCTGTGGCGAAGAGTTGTATTCATATTTAAGATCGAGAGATTCATTATTTCTTTTCCCTCTTTAAGGATCATTCAGGGACTATAGTGTTGAGTTTGAGCTCAGAGACATGTCTTTATGAGGCAGTTATCAGTTTGGGTTTATTTTAAAAGTCAGCTACAGTATGTCTCTGAATAATGTATCACTAAAAAATGAGACCTTATTATAGCATATCAGTTACTGTGGTAAGGTGAAATAGAGAGCTTATTTTATACAGCTCCCTCCTCCAGACAGTGAGTCACATTCACAGGCCTGAGGGTGAAAATGCTTTGTTGATGAGGGGTCAGAATAGATCTGTAAAGCAAACAGACTGGCCACATGTACATGCCTAGTGTAGCTACAATGTAGGGAAAGGAATCTAAGAATAGGCACTAATCAAGAAACCTCGGCCTGATACTGGTCACCCATGACAGGTGGTACTACCTTGACCTGTCAGATTCGGCCTCTTGCGGCTCGTGATCATCAAATCATTTTAAAGGTGAATTTAAAAATACAGAAGAGAGATGTATCCGAGACAGCATCAGTAAAAACGTGTTTTATTTTACTTGGCAGAGACTGTAGTGGTTGTCTGATGAGCCATTAAGGAGTTTTGAATGTCACATTGTATCACTCAACCTTGCTGCTAACCACATGCATCTCTTCACGGCCACCATCCTCTAGCACAATATTCACCATGTGATCAAGCACTTCTGTCAAGATTGTTCTAGATTCAGGGGCAAACAAGGCAGAGAAGATGCAACAACAATGAAGTGAAATTTGAATATGAACATACATTTCTGGGTTGTTTTAACTTCAGGTTGGTAGATCCAGTTGTTAGGCTGGTTATGATATATGGGCTAACACAATAAAGAAAATGGGAGCACATTCCCATTAAGAAAAGCGCTGCAGGCTAAGGGAACCTAGAAATGCCAGTGGCATATTTGATTGCATGCCCTGTATTAATAGCGGGGTTATCTGCTGCTTTCTCAGCCTGGACATTTATCTCTGTGACCTCCAGTTTTAACCAAGCGCTCCCAAGTTGAAGGGCCAGTTGTATTACATTGAAATACACAGCAGGAAAAAGCTGACTTCAGATAGGTCTGTTGTTTTAGGCTTTTAATTAAACTATTTACACTGAGTGTTTGCTCAAAATCTCATAGCACTAGAGTAGTAATATTTCTGGTGGTCTCACAAAAATCCTGCACAGCCAATGGTTGCTGCAGGTGTGATATTCAGTAACTAACACTGATTTCTAATGATCACTTGTAAATTACGAAGAGACAAATAAAAAGATGTAATGAAAAACACAGGATAACAAATTGTCCTTGTTTACAACATAGAACAAAATTTATGGTGATGATTGGTCAAAAAAGAGATATAAGAGATACACACTGTGTTTACAGTCGGTAGACAGCATGACTTAGGACAGACATTTTTACCTTATATCACCTTTTAAATTATGACCCATTATCAACTCCGTGTGGGGGGGGGGGGGTAGTGAGGTTTCCAGTCTTTGCGAGCAGCAGCCAAATTCAAGTCTATCAGGCTTCTTTGAGTAACAATGGAAGAAAAATTTGATCGCCAATAGCCATTGTCTCTGTGGATTGTAAATATATTACCCCATTTATTTCACATTATGCCACATATGAATTCGTTTACAGAATAATAGTGCTTTGTTGCTCGACCCCAAACCTTGTGTGTGGGGCAGGTCTAGACTTTTCCAACTTGGTGGCAAAAGTGGGCTCTTGACTTTGTGCAGCATAAGCAATAAGTATATGAGCACACCAATAAATATACAGTATTTATATCCGAATCTACCAATTATTTTCATTCCAACTATTCTCATTCAAGTATCAAACAAATGTTTTATTCCCCTGAGTTTCTTCTTTTTACTCTAAAAAGTTAAAAAAATATATATCAGAGCAGTAAGATATATATATTTTTTGGTTTTAATCATCAAGGACTCATCAAAAAGACTAATGTTTGTCCAAATTCATGATTTAAAGAACAAACATTCAATGTGCTGCATTAAATTGCAGCCTCTATAATTAGAGACAAGGACCAAAATACCTCATGTTAGCAAGGGTTCCACCAATAACGACAACAGGAATTCATAGTTTAAGATTTTTGGTGTACTACTAAAGTTCAGGTTAGAGGGTGGCCATCCCTTACTATTCACTGAATCTGGCCCTGATAGCTTCACCTGTAACTACACAGCAGTGGCGTGTCCTGATCCATTCTTACAGCTTCTTTGTGTCTGTCTATCTGATCTTTTAAAAATACTTGTCAGCAGAACACTGTTACAACACGACTTGTGTTATGAAATGATTCATTAGATGATTGATTATCACAACAGGTGATCTGTGTGTTGTGAAGGCTTGTTATGATCCAAAACAGAGAGACAAAACTTTCATAACAGAGTATGAGAGGGTTTATAATTGAGATAAGATATCAACCTTGGCCTGTGCATGAAAAGGAAGGACATAGGCCTCCTTGAAAGATGTGCCTCTCTTACTATCTTTCTCTGATCATCTGCAGAGCATCAGACCCTGTTCACAGCACACAAGAGGGAACAGAGCGGGAGAGGATCATTCATTTATTGATCACAGATACTGATCTCACATAGGAAAAAAATAGGTTACAAAAAGGTCAGTAAATATACCTGAGTGGTCTGCCCACGCTCAGTTTATGTATGGGACACACTGTACTATAGCAGCTGCATGGAGTGTGGCAGCTTGTGCGCATGATGCAGACGGTTACACATGATGGAAGGGACAGATAGGTTGTACTGTTAATGGATCACAATTTAAAAAAATGTGCATGAGTCCCAAGGCGTTTAAGTCTTTGAGAGGCAAGTCAAAATCAGGTCTCAAGTTACATTAACGTGACTTGGGACCAATGGTGGCGCGGCGCAAGGTGCGCAGTGGTAATTCAGTGCAGCACAGTCCTGTATGCAGCCAATTTTGTAAATTCATAGGTTGAGACGCATCAAGATGCAGCAAGATGAGTGGGGCTGCAGAGTAAGGGGAAGTGTCAACAGAGTCAGCTGGTGCACTGACACTTTCATGCCCACCAGTGGTGCAGAGAGTGCACAAAAAGTTTTCCAATCCCAACCTGGTCAGCCTTCGGCATAGGCAAAGCACAGCCGGTCAAGTGGTTAATTCATAGACTGGCGGACCAGTACGCAAACAGGCACATTTTTCATCTAGCCGCGCAACTTACCAAATTAGCGAAGTGTGCTTGTGACCTGTGCTGCTTCTGTGCCACGATGCCAGTGAGACATGAAATTAGAGCCCCAAGTATCAAACTCTGGTCTATTTGGTTGTATTAGGCTACTTTACATCACCCACAGCTTTTTGAGTTCCATGCGGGCTTTCCTCATCAAATACAAACGCCCTGTACATACGCGTGATAACATTTTTGAACATGCTGGAACGACAGTCTTTCCCTGCCAACCACCAGCATTCCTTTTTTAAATGCTAAAAACAACCCTATCTCAAGTGACCTTTACAGGTTATGAAAATAATGAGTATACACTCTCAGAGGTAGACATAGAAGTAGTGTGAAGCTTTAATTACAGCCAAAGAAGGGCTTGAGAGGAAGCAAGTGGACGACTGTTGATTAAGTACCTTTCTTGGAGAATATATTTTGTACCGATGAAGCAACCTTTCCTCTATCTTGAAGTACCATTGGCATTGTCTTGAAGTTGACCTTATGCTTAATGGTTGACTGGAAGTTTCGTTGACTCCATATATGATTCACCTGTTTTCTTAAGTGTAAGTTTCATCATTTTAAAAGTCCTTTTGAAATAACTTTATCTCTGTGGGACAAGTAGTGGATGACTGATATCAGTTTTTCAATGGCCAACTCAAATACTAATATGAGAGCATGTTGGACAATAGCCAATCTATAATCCCGATATCACATTTTTGTTTTTTTCTTAATTTAAATTATGAAAATACTGTCAAATGACAAACAAAACTGCTGACTTTGGCTGGTTGTCTTGTTAAATAAATGGAGGCAGGCGAAAAAAAAAAAAAAAAAAAACTTGCCTTAGTGTTACACTGCCACAGGGGTGTTTCCATTTCTGTCCAGCTATCTGAAATTAGTAAGAAACAAAAAATAAGCAAGGTGAACAATAATGATATTACTTATTATTACTCTTATCATAAAACAGAATTTATATCAAACACAAGCCAGTGAGAGTTCCAGATCTGATATGCTGTCAAATACCATTTTCATTTAAAAACACAGTGGTGATATCAGCCTCAAGAGGGCCGGTGCCGATACGATGACGATTATGTCACTATTGCCATTAATCACCCACGACCAGCTAATCAGTCTACCTCTTGTGGAGAGCCCTGTCCAAGACGCTGTATAAGAAGACACAGTATGATTGGATGTGCTTTGAAATGCACAGGTAGAACTAAGCTCAGCAAGGAGTGAGAACAAATGAACGCCTGTTTCTATTTCTTACTATTTTTTGGTGATTCCATGAACCGAACTGAACTATGACCATCACGATTTTTTATCTGTTACACTCCTGCCATTTTTTTATGATTGGGATATTAGTGTAATTGATTACTGAGGATAAATGTGTCTGCAGAACGTTAAATTAATTCTTTATTTCAGAGTAACCTTTTGATATGTTCATTTGTATTCCAAGCTAAAATCAAACTCTATCATACTCAAGTCCACATTCCTAGTTTAAACATGACTTATGCTGCTGGCATGGGAATAGTGTTTGTCCAGTGTTTGTTCTGAACAGGTCTATCTATGTATTCGCTGATTTTGGTATTTTCCTCTGAGCACTGAGGTGTTTTATCGAACTTACTTAAAGTGCAGCTTAGGTTTTTATTGCACAGCTGTACCACTCAGTGGTGGAAACGGTTTTCTTAAGAGTATGAACAGTTTACAGTAAGAGCTGATGCAGGCACATAACCATCACCAAGTTACAATATATACAGCTCAAGACAAATAAAGTGACAGAACAATGTTTCCTTTGTTTCATCTTGGACTTGTTTGCAGCGACTGTAATTTGTTAAAACAAGTGACAGTAACGTCAACAACTGGAAACAATCTGGTGACAGTCGTGGATGACAGCCATGTGATTAACACCAACCTCCGCTGTATTGCAGGATTGCCTGCTCTTGCACGTCACATTTCTGGTCTTCCACAAACAGACTTAAAATTCAGATTTCCTTTTTTGTTCTCCGCACAAACTGAGCTGGTAGATCAAAATGAGGAATCTCTCAGGTAAAACAGTAAAAGCATGTTCCACTCTGATAAAAACTTTAAGCCTTTGGGGTCTGTCTTTTGCACCTTGGTGTGGTATTAGAGATTTCCGGGGATGTGTAAATCCATTTACACCCCCAGAATTGTGAAATAACACCATGTACTACTGTCATTAGGCAACATTATCTGTCCCAAACCCAAGGAGACAGACAGTGAAAGGAGCTACAACAGGAACGTGGAATGAGGGGTTTTTTTAATGACAAAAAGAGAGCAGGTGATAGCTTTTGCATGGTAACTGTAGACATGAGTCATTTCTCACACAACCATAAATAGACCGCAGTCGTGTTGGCTGAAGGGAGTAAACACTGCAAAATATTTTGCTGAGTGGAAGGTTTGCAGTTTCATCCTCACTTAATGATAGAGTCATTGATGGCTGTGTGTGACTGCGTATGAGTGATAATGTGACTGAGTGAGAGTGAGGTGCAAATCAACCCTTCATGTAGTGAGGAAGAGTTTTATGGTAGGATATATTTTTCAAGGATATGAATATGGTCCTTATAGATACAAAAGTGGAACAAAGCTGACAATGAGATCCTAAAAAGCTGCATAAGTTTAATGTGAAAATAAGTTCGGATGAAGAAGATTAGTTTCCTGCCAATCAGTCTTTGGCCTGCTGCATGTCTGTCTTCCCTGCCTCAGCTCTCTGTCCCTCCTTCCACTATCCATAATCTTTCTTATGTTCCTCATTTGATTGCCTTTGAAATAGAGGTGATTTCTATATGATTGTTCGAGGTCACAGCCACATGATATTTACTTAAACAAGAGTAGCATATAGACCTATATTTAAGCTTTATGTGCGACACTCTCTGCTGCTAAATGTGCCAAGGATCCAGAATTTTACCACAATATGCGCCATTAAGCAACTAAATGGAGCCCTAAATGTGATCTTTGGGTTAGCATTTTCCAAGCAAAATGTGCAGAGGCTTCCTTGGACAGAAACTGACCAAAATAATTGAACGTTTTAAAATGCCCAATATTTGACTTTCAGTTTCTGTTTTTCCTCACCGTGATAACCAAATTCAATTTAAATGTAAAATGACTATTTGAGCAGGATGAGTCAGCAGTTGTCCAAAACAATATGAGGTTAATAAACAGCATATGTTTCAAAAACCTCTCCAAGCTGTTATTCTAAGATATATTTAAACCTAATTTTTGTTTGACAACACAAACATATAAAGAGGATTTTACAGCTTGGAAAAACCGTTTATATTCTGCTGTGATATTTACAGTGGTCAAAGGCGCCCGAGTCAAATTGGTAATATTTACAGTTGGTTTTACTGCCTTTTAACTGCTATGGTAAGAAATATGCGGGGCACTGTCATTATAACAAATTAATTAGCCACTTAGCTGTGGAACTGTCCTCTGCATTTTATTTCTCACTCAGTGTAGACTTGCTGCTTATCAGCTTACTGGTTTGGCCTGTAGACAAACTGGCTGTGTGAAGTGTCAGGGTGAGGGATTTACTGCTGGATTGGGCTGAGCTGCTTCCTGTAGTGTCGTGGTCTCTGCTGCCAGGGAGATTCTCTGCGTTTTTACCCAACTGGTCAACAACGCTTACTCTACAGCCCATCACACGTGCACATGCAGGGCTCTAGATTAACCTTTATACTGGGCAGCACAGATGCTCCCGACTTCACAATGTTGGGGGCATTGGCAAAAATTTAGGCACCTCCCCCTAAAATTTAAAGCGTACCACAACTAAAATCTGTATATTAACAACGTCATGTAGCAGTAATCACAGTATATTCCTTGAGTTGTTCTTCTTTTCGTAGTATAAATCCATAGAGGATGTCTGAAATGCAGTTGCTGATATGTCAAGCTGTTCACATGACCTGACTGCAGCCCGTTTTTATAAACTAACATCTGTGTCTCTCAGGAAATCTTCTTTGCATTGACAAGTTTTTCCATTGTTTTTGTCCTTGTAACATCATCTTTTTAAATTTTTTTGATAACAAAACAGGAGTAGTTCGTCAAGAAGTCTGGAGTTGCTCTGTATAGCTGTAAGGATTGTACGCTGGGAGAACTTGGACATTAACTACTGGCTTAAGCATCTGTTTGCCCAGCCAACAGCCATGAGCAGTCAGTGTGAATACAGTGTGACAAAACTTAAATCTATTTTAAACTTTTCTTTCTCATTTTTGCAATAACATGTTGATTCATGCAACAAAATGGTTTTTTTGTTTTTTTTGTTTGAACAGATTGCACCACCAGCAGATAGAGCTAAGTAAATTCCTGGCATTAAACATTTCTTTTCCTTGATTCTGGTAATTTTGTATGCAATAAATTTAGCAGTTCTGCTTTATTTTATAAAAATGATCTAGGCTTGTAATCTTAGTCATTTTTAAACCTGTAGCCTTTACATATTAAGGATGAATACATTCATTTGACTTATTGGTGTTCGGCACTATTGCACATTTTGTAAAACTCAACATATGTTTGGTTCATCTGTAGTTTTGTACAATAAAACTAGATTTACTTACGCTTTGTTTAATTGTTACAATGACAAAATATTAATATTTAATCCAGAACGAGAGAAATCTTTATGACAGGGTAATGCAGTGAAGGAGTGACGGTAGTTTTTCTGTATATTGCGATTTTGATTTTCGTGTGTAGAGGGTTTGGAACAAAGTTTGACAACAGAAACAGAGGGTACACACGCAGCTGTGATCACCCATTCACACCTGCCCATGTGTAGGCTGGCACTAACAACAAGAGGGACAGAGAGCAATGGAGAGAAATCTGCTGACTAGCTGACTGAGATCTGTGAGATGAATGCACCCTCTTGATACTGTTGATCCAGATTTTGTAAATATCGACCAAAGTTTGGACTCACTCACATCATATTTTTACTTCTGTTTGCTTTTAAAAATCACCTGATCAACAAAGTTCCCATTACCAACTCCTGGTAGAGGTTAAACTCGCAAGGTATGCAAAAGGGGGTTGTAGGTTTTAGCCATAAAAAGAAACATCATTTTTCACCATCTGTCTACCTGCTTTCCCTTAAGGCTTGGACACAGAGATCCCACGTTGTTGATGGAAACTGTGGGAAATCGTTAAAAACAGTCAGTCTCCACTGCGCTCAAATACACATCTTTTTACCCCTCACATACACCCAGTGTGACCTGACAGTACTCAAGCCTAATCCGTGTGCTATCTCAGGGAGGCAGACAGACTGAGGAGCCTCATGGCACAGTGCTAGTCATGTCTTTTTCTGGTCATTACCAGCACAGGGCCTCTCAACATGGATGGAGGGGGCAATGAAGGAGAACCTCAATAAATGATCAGTGTGCTCTGCCAGAACTAACTCATGCTGCATCTGCTGCCTCCATGTTACTAGGGTTCCTATCTTGCTCCTTTGCTGATTGTACAACCCATAACTTCTCTAGCATAATATTATAAACCCTCTGAATTTGCAAGCAGGTGGGTATGTCAGTCTAATGACCCAAACTTGGCCAAGGAGGTGGTTGACTTCCCAAGCCTGGAGCACAGCAGAAGCCCACCTCCTCTGAAGCCCCAAAGGGATAAAAATGAGGCCCATTATATGGGAAAGATTGTAATGATGCTTTTGATTAGTGGCTTGTCAGGAGGTATTGGCCCAGCGCTCATCACAGCGTTGTTTAGCACTCTGAGGCCTCCATAAAGATGAGGATTTTTTCAGAAAAGATGAAAAAGCGTAGGGCATGTGCCTAATGAAGTCTCAGGCTTATAGCCCCTCTCATGACAGGGTAATTACACCAAATGCTTCCAGCCAACACTTCAAAGGACACTTCATCCCTGTGCCAACACCATGCAACACATCTCGCCAATCAAGATGGCCTGACCTAAATCAGGTCCCCCTGGCTTGTCTGTCATGTCCCCAGCCCGAAGACCCACTGGACCCATGCAGAGCCGACAGCTTTAGAGTCACAGCCACACTGTGTTATTGAGGAATGAAGAATAAGTGTTTTCCGCTGCTGTTAGACAAACATATTGATTAATCCTATTGCACGTACATAATGATGTCAAAAGAAGACATTTAGCAAACTGTCCTCTGAAATTCAAAACCTTAAAAAACACCACGCAAACCATACAACGTGTTGCTTTGAAGCAAAATAAAAGGGTTTATTAATAAGCAAAGCGTGCCATTCTCTAACATGTTAACATAAAATAATCTTTATTTTTACACAGAGTAAGCATGAATACTCTTCTGATGGGGACACTATCATCTGACCAAGATCATTAGTCAGTTCCCACTTTTAAATAAAATATTTTGAAAAGTTATTTAAGATTTTTCCAACACTTTATTCAGGATAGACAATTTCTCTATTTTTCTATTTTTCTCAGTCTGTTTCACATTCTTATTTTTAACTAAATGTTTAAATATTTTATAGCTGTGTAAAACTTGGAACTGAATCTTTTTTAGATTTAGAGCACACATTTTTAGCAGTCAGTTGGAGCACCCGCCTCCTGCCCTGAGCTCCCATTATAATGAGACTCAATCTTCCAAGCCAACAGTGCTGAGCCGATCTCCCAGCATTCTCCGTGTTTTTCTCAGTGTGGTAATATTACATTATGTAACAAAAATTCAAATACAACCAGAATGAAGTTTTATCCAATAGTGACTGAGATCTCTAGGAGACGTTTTTGCGGTGCTTATGAGTCACTGGAGATGTTTTCTGGTGAATACAGGAAATATATTCTCCTAGAATAAGTCAGGGATGATAAATTAGCTTCTGGGGGATAAGATAAACCATATCACCACAATGTGAGCGGCTTGGTTGCTTACCCTCCTCACGTCTTGAGGAGAATTAAATTGAGCATGGGGTAAGGAGTTAGGAGGAAGTGAGGAACTGCAGGAGCAAACAGCATTAAAACAATATTTACGAACGATGTACTTAAGAAGCCAGCATGCCAGGCTATTGTGATAATTGCTGCGACTTCCTAACTGGTATAAACTGCTTCAAGCGCAGGAAGTGCTGCACAGGGGCAGGATGGAAATCTACTGTGACATGTTGAGAAAGAAATAACACTTAGAAGTGTCTGAATGGTTCCAATGAACACATTTCAGTTGTTCCCATGAAAAAAGCATTGCCATGTTAGACACTGGATGCTACATAATTAACAAACAGGAACAGCAAAATTCTCTCAGTCTTCTACTAAAATGACTCCTGGAAGATTGGGTGGCACAGGAACAGATGGAGAGAGGCCACTTGAACACAGTGTAATGAAGCGGCACACAGAAAAAAATCACTCATACAGTGCGCATTTCAAATGAACCCGGAGAGGGTGTTATGTCTCACTTATTTTGGGAACTCACACCTGATGTATTTTTTACATATGTGCTGCACTGCTCAAGATGCCCTACTTCAGAGCTGTTTTCATACGCTGTCTTCATTCTTGATTATGTATTGCACAAACTTAAAAAACATGATTGTTCGTCATTACAAGCCCCCTCTGTTCAACACCTGTTTCCAGTGTAACAGTTCAAACAACATGTGGTGCATAATCTGCTTCATCAGATGTAATTTTACACCCACATTTGAAACTTGCTTTTTTTTTTCTCAGCCTTTCATTTGAATCACATATTAAACATTACAAGCAGAATATCTTCCACCACCGGCACGACTCCTACTTTAATGTTCCTGTAGATTTTCAATCAGGAAGAGACTAGGACAGACACTCCCAGGGGGTAGAAGAAACCTGTACCCTCTCATGATAAATAAATCATGATACCTGGTGCAGCTGAATGTAAGAGAGAAGGACTCTTCTAATGATGGTGGACAGTACGGGATCTATTTCCCAAATCACCACTCCACCCGAGGAGAGGCTCTTTGGAGAGTTTTTACATTACTGACCATCACTCTGAGTTAGATTACCCTTGCCAGTCTTTTCCATCACTGTACCTTTCTGTCACAGACAAGGCTCCAAGTGGCCTCTTTCACTCTGACCCTCAATTACCCAGCCCAATCATCTCAGACAGGTGTTGAGGTACAGTAATAAACCCCCGCCTGATGCTGCCGAGGCAGCCTCTCTTTTAAAGCACCTCTGAGAGCTCTGAAATGACTCAACTCGGTGTTGATCAGGTGCTGTGACCACAGTTGACTCTGGACTGTCATCTGATAGTGTGCAGTATGAAAGAAAAAAAAACATTTACAATACCACTTCAAGCTCTGTATGAGCCTAATACACAAGATCAGACATGAGCAGTGCTAGAAAGGTGTTCCTGCTTTGAAGGAAAAGAAAGCTCTAAGTGGTTATTGCTATAATTTGTGCAGTAATCTTTCAGACAGAAAATCATGGATATTGTTTTATGCATCATCAGAGTTTTAAGTAACTTTAACCAACAACATTTACAGCAAAGAAAGTGAGTTGAGTTGTCAGCAGAGGCCCCGAAGGAAAAATAAAGACTAAATATAAACTCATATCCTCAGCACTTATACCCAAACTATACATTACTGCTTAACTGTGTTGCAAATGGAGTCTTTTCAGTCACAAGGATATGCCATCACTGCATCATAAACCTTGTGAAGCGTAAGCATCATAAAGTCTGAGAGGGATACACAGCCTTAGTCCAGGATGGATCAGATTTTTACATCTCACTGATACAGGAAGGCTTGAATTTCTGGCATGTGTTTGTTGCTATTGTGATGACCTAGTGTGATCATTGATATCACTCTGTGTGTTGCCCACGCTCTGATCCTCAGACTGATTTAACTCATATACTTGTGACCAAAGTGTCCATACAGGGAACATGTGTCTGTTGCTTACATAGGAACTCAACATTTGAATAACTTTTCTTACATACTCTACGTTAAAAGGAGCTGTGTTAACATCGTCTCATAATGGGACCTACTGTGGTAGAAAGACACAAAAGACATAAGGTGTCTCTTTCATTGGCATATGGATATGTGTGAAAGGCTTCTTTGTAAATTTACACAATTACTTTGGCTCTCTTCGATTTTCATAAGACGTTTTCAATTTTAAACACAGTGTGTGCATTGTTAATGACTGATTCCTGATGGGTTCATTCATCCTTTGTGCAAAAGCAATCTGCTCCTCCAATTCACGCCATAGCTCCTTCATCACACATCCTCTGACTGGAAGAAAAAGCAGGGACTAGTTTTCATTGTTGCTGCATAGAGCATAGAGCTGAATTGTGACCTAGAAAGATTCAGCAGAACCCCTTCGAGCTGAGACACTTATCAAGCTAAATTAGCCTACATACCACAGGCAGGGGTCAGACTAACCAACAGTGGAGTCTCGCTCAGCTTACCGCTAACATGTGGGAATGAATTTTAAGTTGGAAATTAGGGTGTGATGCATTGCAGCAACATAAAAGGGTCCAATGAGGAACTTGATTGTGAAAGATCCTTATTGCTTTTCCTTAACAGGTTTAGAGCGAAGTGATGGGTTTATCTAACTATCTGATTACCTTGTATATTTTACAAGCCAGCCATGACACAAACACAGAGTGATGATTTCTTAACTCATTGATTAAATTAAGTCCTTTGCTGCGGTTGCGTAATCAGGTGAACAAAGCTATTCAGCCTCCTCCAGGTTTGAGAAATGTCTTACATTAACAACTCCATGAGTAAAAAGTCGGCAAATCACACAGCAAACACGTTGAGTAATTCAAGGATTAGAGGATTCATACAGCCCAATTCCCTCCGGGCAGTCTGCCAATAGAAAAGCACGGTCCAGATACTCACGTAGGGTACAACACCACAACTGGCAGATCCACAGAAAAGCTCACTGCCAGATGAGCCAATGCCATGCACACAGGCATATGCAGACAGGTAGGGTGACTTGATGGCATGAAGCATCTCTGGGGAAAGGATTCAGGAGTTATATAAAATGCTTTCGAGAGGAGAACACCCTTAAAGCCAGCCTTTGGAGTGGACTCTGTCTGAATTATGTTGCTGTGTAAGTCAGTGTTCGTATTTCTAATTCAACGAGCAAATGTAAGTGTGATGCAAATATCATAAAATATTTGCCCAAGATCATCAAGTCCATGGATATCAGTTTCCTTGTTTGCAGTGCAGATAACCTGTTTTTGGTTCGCACAAGACCAGAGCAATAGTCATTCTGAGTGTCGTGTTTGCATGTACAGTCAGAGGCTCACGTTTTCTCTTTCAAAGTTGCCTCACAATGACTGGGGATTTGTGTTCTTGATAAGCTTTACTTATTTGTAGGCATAAAAGGCAGAGAGTAATAACAGGGGAAATAATTACAGAGGCAGAAAGAATGACCAGGTTCCACAAATCTCAGGGTAAAAGTACACTTTCCCTGCTATTCAGCCACAATTGCGCTGTAACCTCACATGCGCAAAAAAAGAAAAAAGAAAAAAAAAATTCTTGCAGGTTCGAACCACAAGGCGTAATTGCTGTATAGCTTGGGGGGGAAACTATCATTTACAAGCAGCAGAATGCTGAGTGTTTTCATTTTACAATAGATTGTTGTTGAGTGCAGAGCATGCTGATTGAAGGTGCAAAAATGTCAAGTATAGAGGGCTTGGATTCTAGGTGTTGCCAGCAAACCAGTGTGATTTCAGCTGAAGTGCTTTCTATTCATCAAACACTCAGTGCTGTGGCTGCTGATGACAGGGGGATTGAGGTTAATTTTGAAGTATCAATGGATGAAATGCTTTTATGTGACACATTTCCGTGCAGTAGGTGAGTCTGCTTTGTTTGACATGGCCGGTACAATGGCAATTGAAATCAACTATACTCCTTTGTAAAAGCATCAAAACCACTGAGTGAAGTGTTTGTGCCATAAAGCGATACGTCTGTACAGAGTCATCTCATACAGCTACAAGGCAGAATGTAATAACAACTAGTTAGCAGGAGTACATCATCAAGACAAACTGAATCAGGACTGAAGACTTTCACCACTCATCTTCACTTTCCTATCCCTCAGAGATGAAGAGACTACACGATGAGTCACGACGTGTCCTCAATGCCACACCCTCATTCGAGAGCACATTTACTTTTGTCTTGATATAGCATAAAACTAATTTACAACACATGTCTACAGGAGGCCTTAGCAGAAATAAGAAACACATTTTAAAACCACGAACAAACAATATAGGATTTATGGATATAAGTAACGCATTGATAAAGTCATAAAGGTAGATACAAACCTATTAACAGCTGTGAATAAATCTAAAGTTTCTGTTAAACAAGCCTGTGAAGGTAAATCAGTGGGCTGTAATCCATCCGGGGGGAATTTCATCTAACTTTGTATCAGGTGAACCATTACAGAGATTTATTTAAAAAAGAGATTAAAAAAATGTACCCTCTTCGTTTAGCTTTTATAATTGGTACTGCTGTCAGCTACTTCTATTTGAGTAAAAATAAACACTGTTTTTTGTGTGTTTCATCCAGCAAGGAGCCCTCTGATGTTTGCATGCATGTGAACAAATCTATTTAAGCATTTAGTGTCACTGTACCTAATGTGCATGTAACATGAGGTATTTTGAGACTTGCATTGTTTCACTCTATTTCTACCAGCTTTCAGTCTTCTCCTTCACTGTCTCTGATTGCACTTACTTGATAGAAACCCCTGCTCATTGTAAAGCAAGTGTAAGTCCATTGACAGGACTGTTTTACTTCATCCATGTATGAATATAATAAAAAAGGTACCCATCATCAAAACACAAATTCTAGGAGAACAAAATATTAAAGGCAACTTCTCAGTAAAAGTACAAAAAAAACTTTTTCTTCGATGTACAAGAAATGATATGCCAAAATAAAATCATTACGTATAAACTATTATGGGCATATAACTGACATGGGTAATGCACTCTAGATTGTAGACTACCTCACAAACAGGCAGGTAGTTCAGTCTTTTTTTCCATCGCTCAACACCACTATGAAATGAACTTAACTGAAATGAATTACGTTTCCTATCTGTCGTACCTTTTCAGTAATGCTGTAATAATGGGGTCCCCCAGGGGTCTATTTTGGGCCTCCACTGATTCACTCTTTACCATGCCTATGCAGGATTTGCCCCAGCAGAAGCATGAAAAGACGTTCTAAGCAGATGATATTAGGCTCTGCGCTACAGGTGTTTCTCACATGATGTCCTGTCTAACTGAAATTGACATGTGCATGTCCAAAAATGTTCAACTATTGAATCACTCCAAATCTGAAGTTGAATAAGTCTTCAACAAAGTCTACGATGTGTAATATCAGTGAAACTGTAAAGCTCTTTATAGCACCATCTGCTTTCACTGTCCTGCGGGCCTCCCTTGTTGCAGTTAAGCTCAGTAGAGGTAGTGTTTGTAGTGTTGGAGCTATTGGATCCCCTCCGCTGGTCATTTGTAGTCTCAAATTGAGGGCGTCTTCTCAATCAAACCTTCACACCACGAGATTTATTTACTACAGTTTACCACTGTTTTCATTAAATGCATGATTATGAGCTAATGATGGAGAAAAGCTGTAAAGTGGTGCTGCTTGACAAATCTCTCTGACTATGTTTCCAGCATGCTTTGGCAAGAAAAGCAGTTTCTTGCTTCTTCAAGTCCAATTTTCTTGGTGGAACACATTAACACAAAATACCTCTTTCAGCATTTTATTCTGGTACATTTGTCTCACCGGTATATGGGCTGCAGCTTACTTTTTGGAGGACGAAAAATGTATAAGTGCTTGATTTGTAAAATTATCTAAATCGTTATAGGTTGCAATAATGTGTGGAAAAAGGACACAAGAAATCCTCGATTGGGACTTGCATGAAAATAGCTCTCATTCAGCAGTCATTTGCTGAATTTACCTACAAATGACTAATGAATTTCCCTTTGGCGATCAAAAAGTTATTTTATTGAAAATGTTTACAATGACAGTCCTGATATATGATCTTGGATAGGTATATTGCCAGTCATAATGTTGGCATGCAAGCAATTTCGCCCTTTTACATCAAACTCGAATTACAGCTCAGAAAGAAGGGTACACTATCAGCTCTGCGTCTAATTCATTATAAACCAAAGTATAATTGGCTAATTTGGACCAAGGGGATTTTATGGATACTGAAGGGATGGCCAAAACATTCACAATTCATTCTGTGGAAGGATAGCGGTGTCTATACCGATTTGAATAGCAGTCCTTTTCCATAACTGTGGAGAACTTTCTTTTGGAGATTGTCAAGGGCACTGCTGCTATTGAGGCTAAAAGTAACATTCATGTGATCTTGCTCGACGACTTTCAATGATATCTAAAGAGGCTCCTCTCTCTTCTTCTCTCCATTTTCTGTTGCAGGTGGTGGGTCAGATTGATAAACTAACGTCCGACTTTGACTTTGACCTAGAGCCGGATGACTGGACGGTGGCCACAGCCAGCAGCACGTCCAGCAGTGAGCGGGGTTTGGGAGAGGCCTTCAGGCTAGACTTCCTCAATGCAGATGTGCTTTCTGACAGCTGGGAGTTCTGCAGCTACCTGGAGGCTGCTGGAGCTGCGGCCCGCAGGTCCAATGAGCAACCAGGAGACCTACGACCAGAGCTGGGCCGTGGGACCATCCCCACCCAGACCCAGACCCCCACCCCGCCCCCCACCACTGCCTCGGTCTACTCCCAGATGAACGGCGGGCTGCCCATCCCCAATGGGCCGCGCATTATTACTCCAGATTCATCCAGCGAAGAGGCCAGCAGCTCCACGCACAGCCACAAGACCTCCCGAACCTCTGGCACAAGAGAAAGAGTCCGCTTCAGTGACAAAATATTGTACCATGCATTGTGCTGTGATGATGATGAAGAGGAGGAGGAGCAAGAGGAATTACAGGAGGACAAGAGTGGCTGTGCTACACCAGAGAGCGATAGTGAACCCAGTCCTCTGTCGAGCTCAGTTGCCCCTAAACGTTCTTCCTCTGAGCACTCACTCCTCCATAACTGTCTGGACCCTTCCTATGTCTCCTTGCCTCCGAAGGGGACGACGGGAGCTCACACACTTCCAAGGAAAGGTCTCTTAAACCCCAGCTGCCGCAAAAAACTGTTACGAAATAGCAGCACGCAAACTGTCTCTGACAAGAGCACCCAAACTGTACTGCCCTATATTCCAACCAAACAGAAAACAAAGGACCACTGAGAGAGCCCTAAGTTTATCATAATTCTCATGAAGAGGACTGTGCATTATTTAATATTAAATACATAGCTCATAGATTAATACACAAATAAATTAATTACTAAATAAATAAATGATATATGGGAAATCACTCGACTACCTAAAGTTTTTCTGAGGCTCAGGGAAAACTTGATGAAATGAAGCGAAGCAGATCATTGAGGTGAAAGTTAGAGGTGGACCAAAAGGTTAGTGCCTGTGTAATGTTAGAAAAAAAAAACACTGAATGGCTCCCCCTGTGTGTGTTAAACTTGAAACAATGACAGAGATTATAAAAGCAATCATTTTTACTACAACATTTCAAGTGTTCGAAATTGAAAGTGAGGGCATTTCTGCTCCTGATACAATGGTGCAAGTTACAACAAAAGAAAAAAAAACGCTTGTTCTTACAATGTGGAAAAACAAAACGCTGCACATCTGTACTCTGAATCTGTATAAACATTGTCTTTTTTCATGTTCCAGTTATTTCAAATGTCAAGGGGATTGTTGCTTTCAGCCGGGTAATGTATCTAGATGCACATGTCAAGCCTCTTCCTCTCTTTGATGTCAATATATGACTTTAAGCCAAGAGCCAGGGAACAACTTTACTTACCTGCCCTTGATTTTTATAAATCATCCCAGTGTGATACCTGCTTGGTCTACTACAAACACCATAAAAAAAAAAAAGATTAAAAAAGGCAGAAAAATACACAAACATAAAGCGATGAAGAATTTGCGGATTACGACAGTGACATTTCAATTTCTTTCTTTGGTCCCTGCCTTGCTGTGATGTCATTAGATATAGGATTGAGAAGCTGAACAGCAGTCTACAAAAACAGTGCTAAAGGTTTTGTCTCTCTATTCACTCTCCCAGTGGGGAACTGAACTCAGCGGAGCAGCATTTTATTCACAAGCTAACGCCAATAGCCATTCCTGATCAATATGTTAGAGGGAGGTTGCAGTGAGAGGTCTCTCTGCTGAGCATGCATGCCACTCTCCTGGGATCTGTGAACAAAAACTCACAGTCAGACCTATTTACTTACACTGAGCGAAACAAAAATTAGAACTGTGGCCCTTAAGAACTGACATTTCAAATATGTGTGTCCAGGAGTGAGAGCTGATGGTGGAAAAAGAGAGTGTTACTGTTCAAAGATTTCTGTTTTTCTTGTACAGAGCAATAATCCACCCTGGGGAATGGCTTTGTGAGCTCGCACCCCCGGCCCCCTCACCCTTGCTCTCCTAATGTTGTGTTTTTCAGTTTGAAAAGAAAAGAGTAAAATGTCATAGTCTTAAAGAGGAATGTCCTCGCTGACTCATGTGAAGCTGACCTTTGTGCCTTGGATCACCTGAAACAAACTTTAAAATACATGGCGGGTAGAAAAGGAAGCGTAGTCTCTCTGATAAGATATTTAGTTCTTCTGTGTTAGACGACTGTAACGTGTGTGTGTGTGCAAATCATCTCACTTTAACTTCCGCATAACAGGATTATGTGACTGTTTTCTCTGTAAGTGGAACAAACAAGGCAATTTACACTTGAAAAAAATCACTGAATACTTTCTGAGTAGATTAGACTGCAAAAATATTCTATAACGATTTTCAGTAGATTAAGACAATTTATTGGAAGTAGCAGCTAAGACTTTGTGCTGAAATGGTACAAATGAAAACATCAGGCAACTTTGAAACAGGATATTAAAAATTTTCTGCTTTCAAGTGTCACAGCACAATGTAAAGCAAAAGTCCAGATTCTACAAGTCAATAGTTAGAGTGCCCTGTGACCATTCAGCAAATGACAAACACACCTCTGATGAAATGCCTTGGTAATTCCAAGGCAGGCCAACCTGTAAATCTGTATTCATTTCATTTGATGGTGACTTGGGAGGTGTTGAGTCTTTCCTCTCTGCTGCTGGTCACTGCACCACTGTAGATTATAAGAGGCTCTGGAGAAGCCCGCCCATAACAGCCAGCCTCTTTGTTTTTGTTTGTGTGTTCATGTATAACAGTTATTGCATAGTGCACTGCTTAAGGGAATTACAGCTGTGCTGTTCAGGCAGCATCGAGCCTCCAGAGCCCGATATAAGGGAAGCAGAGTGAGCACTTTTACACCAGACAGCTTGGTAGAAACTGCACAAGCATCAATTAGCCTGAAGCTGATGTGCTTTACATGCATCTACCAGAAGCAATTAGATTTTTTTTTCTTTCTGTTTTGAAATGTTTCCCTTTTTGTCTTGCTCTGGCTCAGTTATTCCCAAGTACCTGTGAAGAAGGAGGTACTGTAGAGAGATCAATGGCTCACTCCCCAAAGCATTGGCTGCCATTTCCCTGCTAGATTGGGGACCAACAGGTCATCACAGCCATTAGCATAAACAAACAAAGCTCTGCCGCCACACAGGCAAAGCGTCAATTACAGGGAAACAAACTAAGCCCTTATTGTGATGCTTACACACCCGCCAGACATTGCAATGTGAAGGGATATTTTTTTTCTCTTTCCATCCAGTCCTGAGATTTTTATAAGTCGTATCTGCAAGAAATCACCTCCTCAAATATAGAGCTGTTTGGCACTAGTGTAGAATACATTATCATTGGGGACAGATTTGAGATATTTGGACAAAACATTAGCACCGTCTCTTTTGCCAACAGGCTCATTATTCATCTCTAATAGGGCAGAGCTTTGTCCTCAATCCTCTGTAGGAGAAGGACGAGAGGCATCCAAAGGTTATGAAAATCATCTGGATCTACCAGGAAGATCATTAAGCGATGCCAAAGCATACAAAACAGAGTTGTGTGTTTGTTTGTATTAGAGGGGGCCCTTTGTAGCTGTGCTCACGGTTTTTGTGTCTGCTCATTGTGTGTGGAGGAAAGGGGATGTTTATACATAGCCTCATGTTTATCATATTTCACTGTCCAAGCAATTAATGGAGATCAATACAAACAGACACGGCACATCCCCCTGGAAGTCATTTGGGCAGATTTCTCTGTTAAACAAGATCTCACCAAATCTCTTTCAGAGGTCTGCAGTGAGTCATGCCATCTGTGTTTTGACACCAACATTGAGCGTGTATTAGTTCACATTTCTAATCAATGCCTTAATCACTGCTAGAGGGACACTCTCCGTTGAGTGACTGACAAACAGTATAGAGCAAAATCACTTTAGAGGGGTGATTGTGACAATAAAACACCGAACCATACAACCCCAACCTCTTCCCTGCACACCCTTCAAATATAATTACCACACTTCACTCCCACTGCCCCTTACCCCCATCAGTGAGCACAGGAAAACAGATGACGGATCTCTGTTTTCTCTGCTGATTGGTAAGGGTCCATGAAGCGGAGAACTCAATGCAGCTTCACTGATTACTATAGATTAGCTAACGGCTGGGGCTACCTAGGGTTGATTTGTTTCATCTTTGTGACATTTATTTCCTGCCGCTATGAGAACAAACTATTTCTATTGCGTCTGCCCCCTCCGTCTGTGACCTGCAACTGCCTTTACCACACAGGCTGCTTCCACTCGTGATATTTCTGGTCACTGGTTTGTGAATGTGATTTCTCAGTAATGGTCGGATGAGAAGAAGCAAAAAATGTTTGGTAACCAGGTCTCAGCATGTGTGACTATCGAATGAAAGTCACCCTAAGAACTAACTGCATGTGGTGATAAAAGGTCAGCATCAGAAAAACACTGAATCAAACTTTAGGTTCACATAACACTTGGTTAAATATTACATGGTCAGCTTCACCACACAAAGATAACTTGGCTGTATTTATAAATACCAGTCAGAATCGACTGGGACTGCTAAATATTGAAATAAACCCCAATAATGGGATATTTTCTTTTCTGGGACGAGACTTTAAACCACTTTAATGTAGTGTATCTTCAGTGTTCATAAATAACTTTAATTTTTAATGATACAACTACCCAATTTATAATCTGGATATTTGAGACTGTTTTCTACTTTTACCACACAGTGTCCAACCCTTTGTCTTCATAAACCTAAACTTTGCCAATTACACCAACCGACCTACTTACACGTTATCAATTATATCCAATGTTTAAAGTCAAACTGAATTTGCATCACCAGCCCTGTGATAGTAACTTACACCAAAATCAAAACACAACAACATCCTCTGTACATGTGTGGCAGGCGTGGACTCAGCAAAGTAAACTGTTTGTCTGTAAGTGTGCCCACCTAACCAACCACTGGGTCGACTCAGAATACACCGTCTTTAAATCGGTCTGGCTTAATTGAGCATTTGCCAGGGTATTTCTGACAGCAGCAGTGTTGTGTGAATGTTTACAGGTCATGTGATACAGACTGCATAATGATCAGTCCACAGTATGTTTAAGGAAGAGGTTGATTTAAAGTGATATCAGGTAGAAATTTACAGAAAATTAAATCAGTCAATCAATTTTATAAAGCACGAATTCCCAAAAGTGTTATTTCAAGATGCTTCAGAAAAAGAGCACATGGAGACTATACTCTGTTTAAACCAATCCTAGAAAGTGGCAAAAGCATGTCTTGTTTCAGGTCATGTGACGGTCATTACATGTCCCGCGATGTAACTCCTGTGCGTGCTCATCACACGATTGCACTGGTCAAACGAACTATCGTCCAACCCTGGAATCTGTCCTGCATTTTACCTCAGCAAACCCAGGATCGACTCCCAGTAGCTGAGGGATGGCCTTACAAGGCCACGTCAGCCATCAGTCAGTGCAGGATTGGACCAGGGGAGTGATTAATGAAGAGCCATGTAGAAGCCCCAGATAAGATTGGACCTTCACAGGAAAAAGAAGGACGAGGCCTGGTGCTGCGAGTGGAGGGGGGGGCTGGGAGGTTCCTGGGACAAAACATTGACTTATCACACAGTAATTAAAGTTAATGAGAACCCTGTCACTTTCACATACACCCTGGCATTTTGATTGAACAGTGTGTCAAGCAAAACAAAGAAAGGTAATAAGAGGCGGTAATTATTCTACCGTAGGTCAAAGAGAAGGCGACCATACCTCCTTCATTAAATAAAGTTCGCACATTATTTTTAGCGTTTGTGATGGATCACAATCAGAGGCTCTTTCTGTACATGCTGAAGTTTTGATGCCCTGATTCTAATCTGACAAACTTTTCTCTCAAGAAAGGTAAATGTGAAAATGAAGTTGCTCAATTAACTGACCTGGGGACAACTGCTGTCCTTTATATTTAAGCTCGGCAGTAACAGGAAACTCTGCTCAGTTGAATCGCCATTCTTGAGAAGCAAATTAATCCAAATTGCTACATCAGGTGAAAAGGACACAAAGCACAAAAATTGATCAGCACACCCAGGATGAGGAGAGAAAGTAACAGTTTCTTCACATTACCTGACTAATAGTTGGAAGATCTCCTGATGTGAACTTAAAATGTGGCAGAGCTGAACAAGGCGGAGAAGTGCATAATCATTGCAGAAGCAATTTCTGAGAGCAAGCGAAGGAGACAGAGGAAGAAATGATTGCTGCCGAAATACTACGAGTCCCCAAATTGAACCACCGCAGAAATGTAACCTTGTTGCATATCACATTAAATTGCACACAAATGATGTGTGTAATGACATGCTCAGCTGAGCGACGAATACATCAAGAGACAATTGAATCGGTCTAGAAAAATACACAATTACAGGAAACATCAGTGACAGAGACTGCAGAGGATGGGTGAAGCATGTCACAGAATAATCAGAAAATACATTTCTACTAAGTTATTGGTGACTTGTGAAATGAGAGTCAATTGGAGACCACAGCTGTTAAATGGATATGTATTTGACAGTTGTGGGAAATCAACAGAGCTAAGTGCAGTTCCGTCTGTGTACGTCGAATCCTGACAATATGTGGTAAAAGGCTAACAAAAGCCAGCGGCAGTCTTAGCCAGACAGCTCCGGTTTGGCAGCCCGTCAGATTTTCCATGGCATTTTACAGGTAAAGGCCAAGAAGGCAGGGAATTGCTGACAATTCAGTAAGACCAACAAATAAGAGTTAAATGATGATAAGACAGGTGCAATGTACAAGCCAAGTCCCTAAGTGCCCCTTATTTCACCTTACAAGGGGCTTTCCCCATTGCTCATATTTAGTACTTTTTCCACACACTATAATCTTTACTCTCTCCCTCCTTCTCTCTTTCTCTTCCACGTACACACTCTCCTTTGCTCTTTTTTTCTATGCACTTGTCTCCTCTGGCTGTAATGAGCTCTGCACTTTAGCCCAGGAGGCTGTGACAGAGATCTCCATCAAACACACTGCCATTCACATGTGCCAAGGACAGGTAAGAGTCATTCTTCTAAAGCTCCACTGCCAAACAGAGGGGAGGGTGATTGATTGAGTCATGGATTGTTCTCTGTCTCGGAAAAAAAAATAACAGAATAGAGCCTTACAAAAACAGCCCCGATTAGAAGTATTACTACTGTATTTACCTGCTCTAATTAGCAGAGATTTATTTTTTCAGAGGTTAAGCAGCTCCTTTCTCCTTCTGCACAAAATTGGGTCACCAGACAGAGAGGGGTGCCTGAATGTTGTGCTATGCTGCTGTGCATTTTCATTCAATACATTACAGAAGTGATCATTCTCAAATGACTGCAATTAGTCAAATGTCAGGCTCAGTTTGCGCTCTCACGGTGGCTTGCTGACAAAGTAGCTCAGAGGTAAGTCAAAAGATTAATAGCTGTGGGATTTCATTAAGTCAGGTGCTTGGAAGAAACAGGAGAAGTAAACACAAATTAATTCAAACTTCACTGTTTCCCCTAAGTTTAGTCCATAATCAGCCACAGGGGACTGAAAGAATCCGTCATCAGGCTCAGGTATCGATCTGGTTCACATGTACTGTATGTCATAATATACACCCGCAACTGCCAAAAGCTCTCAGCCTTTCTTATCATGTCAGTTCATAATAATATTACTGTTATTTTGCAGTAAGATGAAGTTAAGACAACACGGTGGCTGTTTGTTTGATGAATTGCTTGTCTAAATCAGCACACAAAGGTCAAACATAATTTGTCATTAATGCTCCAGTGTCGCTGCCCTCCCTTCTGAAAACACTCCAGCAGAGGTAGAGTGAAGTGAAAGGTAGAAATTTGGACTGGGTCCAAAACCAGTGACCGGAGCCTGGTGTGCATGAATGAACTTTCTCAGACAAAAAAAGACTGATTTGAAGAGGACCAGAGTACGGTCAGTCAGTATTAGCCAAATAGACCCACCAAGGACGAATTAAGCTGATCCAACTTGCAGCAAACCAAAAGGGCCTAAAAGAGACAGAACATAAGGCAGCAGAATGGTGCACATTAAACTGATGTGTAAAACTGAGTAGTAATGTACTGCTAAAATAATCACACAGTCACACAAAGTCAGAATTTGAACAAATCACTCAATCAATCAATCAATCAATCATTGGACCACCAGGCCAGGACACAGTTGACTACACAAAGTTTGTGAAAGTCATCCCTTATTTATCATTGAACAGATAATATACTGAATTATTCCTCCAACACAGCCATTGAGCAGAGGGCTGTGTGGGAAATGTTACAGTTGGTCAGATGCACAGTTTTGTCACAAACATCAGCTCCTTCTACAAAGCTGATACTAAAGCAGCAAAAGGCCTGTAATGCAACTCGGATAAAAAGCAATCAGGCAGCAGTTTGAAGTTATTGCATCCTGGCCTTGTCCAAGTGGTCAATCAATGTTCTCTTTTGCTTGTGTCCTCAGTGCATCAGCATGGGCTATAAAGCCTAAAAAGCACAGCAGTTAAATGCCTCTGTGAGCCCTTTGCTAGCCTGGTGTCTGGCAATCTGGCAGGGGTTTCTGGCACCCTCTGTGTTGGACTAGGACTTTAAGAGCATGTAAAGTGTAAATCTCCCAACTGACAGACCAATCGCTGCTGTCTCCAGACCGGATTTACCGTCTCACACAGAGCTGTAAGAAGCCAGCTGTAGCGACATGCTACTATAGGAAATACATTAAAAATTATAGAAACATTTTTACTGACATTTGCAACGGTGATGGCTCAAAATCTCCAAGTCTATCAAAACTCTATGTGGACAATATTCAAATACACTACATGTATTAGTCAATACACGCAGATATGAACATGACTGCACAAACGCAAGATGAGCTGACTCTGGTAAAAAGCATCAAACGGTTATTTTTATGTTTAATAATGTTCGTGGTTCCTAAAATAAATAAATAAATTCATAAATAAGATTCTGTTTGCAATATTGCAAGTGTGTTTGGGCTGTATGCCAACATCCCTAATACACATCTCAAGTCAAACGCCAATGTAGTGTGTCAAATAAAAGACTGACATCTTGACATATCGTAAAGCAAAATTTCCACAGGTTTATAGTTTGTCTGACTTTCATAGATGAAACCACATTACAATATAGCTTTGATTTGCAAACCAATTTCAGATCTGACCTCTGACACCATTCTTGCTTAGTTCAATATCCAGTTAGAAGTTATTAATTATTACAGATTAAACTCTCAGTTCAATAAGAATAATAATCTGTGTAATCTGTGGTGTTCATGATTTAAAGCTTAAAGCTAACTTTTGGTCAAAGATATATAAAAAAAGTGCAATAATGAGTGAAAAGTACCAAGTATATTTTACAGCAGTGAGGCTACTTCAAACTTCTTTTTGTCTAGTGTTGCATGACAGTACACAGTAATTAACATGACAAGGCACTTTAGACATTTTGGCTCTTTGGTGCTAAAACAGAGCAGGTTGGGAGCGAGTCAGCAGAGCAGAGAATAAAAATCTGAAACAAGGTTTTAAAATTTTACAGTTGCATGTGTTTGGATGTGAAGCTGGTGTTGAGTGTCTTTCCAACCTTTCCCTCTAAAACACTGTGCAGTCTGGGCCAGCTTTTCTTGAGTGGTGGATTATGTTCTTGTCTTGTTCTTCAAGGTGCATAAGTGACAAGAATAGGAGATTCTTGTCAAACCTGGATGTAACTAATAATATTCATAATAGCTGTACTCCGTTTAAGTGCCAGAGATCTGGCATTGTACATGTTAGCTCCCTGGCATGACCGATTTGGACACTTAAATAGAGCAGATCCATAATTAATGTAAGTAAGGTAGTTAGACCTGCGCTTTTCCTGTCAAAATGTCTGCTATGGGAAAGACCAATTAGTCACATTCAACTAACAGTACATTTTCATGCATATGAAAATATCAGGGGGAAAAAAAAACAGCTGAACATGGGAAATACCCCAAACCCTGTACAGTACCCCAACCTTCAAATCACTTTAATGTAAACAATGGTTTTATTTACATGATCTTTATTTATAAATCAGCATAGATAAGCACATACTGTCTTATTGCACTCTTGTATTTATAAGGAGAATTTAAAAATCTACACCTCACTTTATTTAATTAATGGTTGTTGGAGCTGTAACATCACATCATGCCTCCAACAGCAGTGGGCCTATTTCCATTGCAATTAAATACAAAGCTCTAAGCACTGCTGGGGAAACTGTCAACTAATAAGTGCTGTTGCTGCTTAAGTTTAACGCGGTTTTAATGAGGGGCAGACACCTCACACTCAGTATGACACACACACACAACGCTGTCTTTAATTTGGTCCCCTTTCAAACACACTGACGTTCTTTATTGTTGCCATGGTAGCCTAATGCACACAATCAAAAACTGTCAGTCAGCATCATATCACATGCACACATTTTCATTCAGCTGATTACTATTATGGCAGCAGAACAGATTTTATATGTCAACAGGAAAAAATTTGCAGCAATGATTCTGTTCAAACACTTGTAGGAAAACATAATCAGGTGTTTTTACAGGAGCCTGAATTTGGTCAAAAAAAATGGATGAAGGCTATTAAAATTCACAACTCCACATTTTTTAAGCCAAATATGATACATCAGAGGTTTTATTCTGTTTTTATAGGTTTTATAGGACTGTTTTTTTGATGCAAAGGATACATGACGGTATGATTGCGATGGCATTATCACATGAAATACTCTATTTTAGTCGATAAAGGGAGAATAAATGTGCCAACAATGAGCTTCATTTTGTGGAAATAATTAGAAGTAGAAAAGATGACAGAAAACAGACATGCTACTGCATGTCTTACTTTTACACCAATACATTTATCAATTATGTTTTTTTTATTTTTTGTCTTTTTCCAATTCAAAAAGACTGTCACAATAAGATTAACAGGTATATCCTAGTACAGAGCAGATTTTGTATTTCTAACCTTAATTAAAAAAAAAAAAAAGATGTCTATATCAATTATTCCGGCATTGCCAGACCTATCAGGCAGTACGTATTCATTTTCGCTGGCATGTGGGTCTGGAACGGCTGCAATCATAATCCTTCACTCAAGATGAGGACACAAGAGCACCGCTTAAGGATATTCATAAACAACCAAGATGGCAGCTTTCTTTGTGTTTCCAGACTCATCGACCATGGTGGATTAGTCTGGCAATGTCAGGCTATATATATCAATACCAGCATTGAGAAAAATAATAACATCAGATATTGATGGGGAAAAAAAACAATAACATGCATCAGGGATGTCCCAGTCTGCTTTATTGGCCCCTGATTCTGATTTGATTTTTCAATACTGAGTATCCACCAATTCTGATACTAGAAAATCTGATACTAGAAAATCAAGCTGCACACCTTTTATTGGTGTTGTTTTCTACACACAAAACAAGGATTAAACCAAAAAAATTAAAGATGTCTTCAACTTATTTCCTCTAACTTAGTTCAGCTATTATTGCTTTATAACCTGATTTAAATATTCTTCTGATCTATATTACAAAGTTAGGGAGCATGTCATGCTGCATGCTTAAATTCAAAGAAATGCTGGCGTTAATGTATTGCTTTCAGAAGTTGGTGTGAAATCCATTAAGGCAATAACTAACTACTTGATTAATAACAAAAATACGGAGCAGTTATTAAACTTTCTCACCTTATGTTCCCATTTTTCATTGCTACTTCTATTTCAAAAAGCAGGAGATGGCTGGACAAACCATGGATCCAAAAGATGTCTTGTTAGTATTTCCACACTGGGCTGCTTATGCTAATGTATAAGACTGTCTAATGTTTTAGCTTTGTGCAATCTTCCCCAAAAGAGTGACCATAGTCAGGCTGCATTCATGTGTTCATGCAATAAAAGGTGGAGACAAGCTTGAGTTCCACATTAATATCCTGTTTGTTATTTTATCATGGAGTTTGGTAGGCTAACCCTTAATAATTGGTTATATGAATGAAATCTTGCTCTCTGCACAAATTGCACTCAGTGATGACTAAATGAAATAATTGGGTGAGATAACCATGTCAAGTTACAGATCACAGATCAGTTAAAGAATGCTAAGATCGACTGAGAGGAGACAGGAACCGTGACATTTCTGTTCTACATCCTGAGTTTTAATTTATAAATTATTATTTTAATTTTGATCATGAACTCACTGATGTTCTTGAAGTGTTAGTTTTCTATTAGCAGCATCGACCTTTTTTACTGTGAAACTTGTTGAACTTTGTTGTGGGTTGTATGCAGTGTAGGTTTCACTGACTGATTAAAGAGTGTAGGACAGTGATGAGGTTGGATAGCATTGCCACTGATAGGTGTAGCCAGACACACAAAATGGACATTTTTCCACATCGGTTACAGAGAAGTCTGTCCCCAACTGTGGTATTATACTGTTTTCCATTCCTCTCCTATAACACACGAGTATAAATAATGATAAGTTTTTTAAAAACTATTATGGATTTCACCTTTAAAGGTCATGTTTTCAAAAGAACAGTTATGCAGTCACAAATCTTTTTGGCTTCAAAACTTCCATTTTCCCTCTACCTTCATTTTTACAGAGGCAGCTGCTCCTGCACTTATTCATTCATTCATCCACCCAAAAGAAGGACTGAGTTGAGAAAAAGAGATTTCTTTCTCAGGCCATTACCGACTATTTCCCTGAGGTGCAGACCCCATCACACAGTGTTTTTACAGACTGTGAGAGGGAGACTTGGCAGAGTTGAAGAATACATTTCTGCTTAATTAATCCCATTCCTTACTTTAGGTATTAAAAGCCAATGGTCTGTTTAACAACTTTCGGCGACACTAAACGGGTAATTAGTCACAGCCTAATCATTTTTCATACTTTTTATGGGTATGTCCAGTGCAGGGTGTGCTCCCTGGAGGGTCATCCCACTAGCCACCGTACTTATTCAGCGGCCTTTTCACAGTTCTGTACCTCCACAGAAGATTGAGCCGTCTCCTTTCCTTTCCCTCTCAGCCAGTTTGTCTTTTAATGTAACACACGACCAACACTTCAGAGGACCCAGACCCCCAATGCATATTCTTCATTGAGGACAAATGTGTAGCTCTTCAGTACAGAGCAGCCAGAGGTGCTGTGGTATGATGAAGAGACCATTTCTCCGCTATGGAAAGGAATAAAGAAACATAGTCTGGCACGATCAGCTATGGCACACTGACTAGCAGTTTGAGCCAGCTGTTGCAGACAGCCAATCCTGAAGCTTTTGTGACTTTTATTCAAATGGTTGGGAAATTAGAATCAGTAAAATGGCAAGAGCCGCCCACTGCCCAGGTGTAAATATGATTTCAATAATGCTTTCTGTTCTCTAAATAAGCACAGCTGTTCAGACACACCGCCAGTATTCTGAATTCAAAACACTGTGCAGGACATGTTAGTTCTTTTCTCTCCGAGAATAAAGACTGAAATAGCTGAACACACCAGTGATAGCTTTTATCTTGCCCCGGTAATAAGCTTTTACCGCCCACTGAAGCAGAGGCTAAAGATAAAATCAATTAAACAAAAGTGCACATCTTCCCGGCCAACTTCAACATCCATTTGAGAATTAAAATCTGCTAAGTATTCTATATTCATGAAAACATCTGTTACGTGCCCAGACTGGACCTTCAGAGATGAGGTGGTTGTTTAAAGCAGCATGCAGACACTTCTATGGTGCAGGAACAAGAACAGAAAACGGTTCTCTAGTCTGGTTTTGATATAACAGGAGGTTTCCTTCAAAGCGGTTATCAATGATTGTCCAATGTGTAATCCTCATCTGATTGCTGCAAGTCCACAAACCTTTCTAAATTTGTTTAATCGTCATGAGCTGTTTGCTGTCAGTAATAAAACCTTGGATTATTTCGACCAGGCTGCTTCATTATGCTAACTATTGGAAAATCAATCTGAACATATCAATCAGCTTTAAACCAGCCGAAGCATCAGCGAAGATCCGGGGCTATTAACCCCTAAAACACTGAGTTCATGCCTGAGCTGATCACACAACACAGCCTGATGCATCAAACGGGCTAAAATCCCCTAAAGCTCATGCCAATCTTGTTAATGTCACACTTCTGTGTGCCATCTGGCATGACTTTAGCAGTCACACTAATATTAGTCAATCCTCGCAGCTTTCTATGATCTGTAAATCTCCAGCAGCTCGCATTTTAATTTGTCGGCAGCCCTTTATGACATTTGCCCACAAATTGTCAGCCATGAGCAGCGGTAAAAGCCACAGGTGGTGTGACAACCTAATTATCAATTGCTTCTCACTTGTCATTAACCTTTAAATACTCAATAGACCTTTTTCTCATGGAGGACATTTTGACCTGCAGAAATAACACAGGTGTAGCTAATAGCTTTAACGCCGGCTCTAACACATTAAGGTGTGAGTGAGCCTTGGTAGCGTGTCGACGTTAACAACGCCAAAGTCCCAACACTGGCACACTGACATGGAGAGTAAACATGACCTGATCCAGGAAAGGGTTAAAACCAACCATGTATGACAAGTCCATGTACAACATAGGCATCATTAACACATCATAGTGAAACACAGGCTGTTTCTTTTCTGTTTGCACCACTTTTCACAGCTACGTGTAAATGTTACAGGGAGAAACAAGTTTACAGTAATTATGTGAAGTTTTTACACTCAGCTGCACAAGGTGCTCATTTTCATGCAGTTTATAGATTGTACTCGTGCCCTAAGTCAAGTGCAACGTGTTCACAAGACCAAAGTCCACAAGGGGTGCAATCTCCAGATAACCTTAAGGTCAAGCTTCACAAGCACTTATTCCACAAATTGCAACCAGCTAACCTCACATAGAGCGAGTTAATCAATGGGAAGTTGCTCTCACACAGCGAAGTTGTGTATCATGTTGGGCTGTAATGAGACACATAGCTCCAGAGACCATCAAGACATGAGATTGGATTCATGAGAAGCACACAAGATGAGGTTTAACCCTATTTTAAGAGAGCCCATGATGAAATATGTGACAGGAAATTGCTTTCATTCAAACAAAATGCAAAACAAAGCAGGTCAATCCAACCCATCTCATGATGAATGTCACTTCAGTTCTACTTCCTGTTTATAAATAAGGAAATGCTGAACAATATCAAGCACTCGTGTGTTAGCCTTATGAAACAATGGGGGCATTAACTGTTTATTGCAGTCACAAACTGGATCATTCGAGATCCAGTTACTGATATGTTAAACTGATTGTAGCCTTTTATAACCTTTATAATTATAGCATCCTATAATTATGATGCAGACAACAGAATTTCTGCATTACTGTAGCTCTGTAAAATGTGTCAAGCTGTGGTTGTAAACACGTAGCCTATGTTTAGTTCAATTGTAGTTTTGTGTGGCATTACTAGGTTTCTGATTGGTTTTGTTCACATTCATGTTAGCATGACAAAAGCACAAACATTTCCTTAAGATCATCAAAGATTTTATCAGAGGTTTGGACCCAGATAAAATGATCATGTCTCCAAAAACGTTGAACTCCCAATTCTGTTGCCAGATGAGTCCCACCTTTGTAAGGTTGACATTAATGATACAGCAAAGTACAAAATAACTAGCTACAGATTCATATTAGCATGAGGGGTGAAAAGTGACTGCACACTGGTTAATCAGTCATTAATGATAATAGTAAACTGATCAAATTTAAAAAAAGGAAAACCCATAAATCGTCAGCAGTTTTACCTGGGCGGCCCACCCAGATACTTTCTGTGTGGGAAATACTGCATGTTGTAGGTAATTCGTTAAAATCCCTCAGATGCGACCCTTGTTCAAGCAATTTAAAGGGAGACAAAGTGTTTTCATGGCTGATTTCAGATTGGTTAATCCGTGCTGATTTAAGAAAATCCAGAACTAGAAATGTGGCACAGCGTAAGAGCAGAGGTGTCATGTTTCAGCCCTGTTTTTTAATAGTGTTCTGAGGCACTTAAAGTCTACCTGTTTCACCAACAATACTTAGAAACAGGAGGTAATTTATTTTACTATTTACATAAATATTACGGTTTGAAAAGTTAAGCAGAATCTTTCAATAAGCGCACTGTATTAAAGATGTTTAGACAGGGAAGGCGAGTTTTACACAGTATTTAATATTAATTGTCTGTGTTGCTGCTCAAAGTGTCTCTGACATAAAGTGAAAATGTAAAGTGTTTATTTTTTGTCCTGGGTGACTTGATTGATCACAGCAGGGACAGAATTCATTCATTATTAACGGTTTGAAAAAAATGTCAGAGTCCCTGTCTGTTTATTGCTATGCGAGGCTCCTGTGTTGTTGTTAATCCTTTTGCCTTTAATTAACATAACAAAATTATTAATGTCGTCTTTTTATCTGTATTATCAAGTCTTAAATCCCTTTAGCAGCTGAGAAGCATGCCTAATCGTAAGGAAATGGGTTTTGATATGTTTTATTTTTTCAGCTTGTTTTTGAAGTTGCAGCTGCAGTTGAATAATCCAAACCGAGGTTCGTGTTTGTAGAGCATCTGAGGGTGGAAATTTCGCACTGAATGATGCAAGATATATAGATGTATATGGATAAATGGAAAAAGATCAAGATGTAGTAAATGAAGCTAGAATCAGAATGAACTTTTTTTAGAAAGAAGCAGAGACATTAAACAGCTGCCGAACAGCCAAGAAATATGTTGCCACAGTGGTTTCAATATAAGTGCTTCATTTGCAAGCAAATTTATTATATTTAGTTTAAGACAGCAGTTATATTTTTGGACACAAAATGCTAATGCAAGCTGGGCCGCTCTTTTTTGATGTCATGTGGCTAAAAATAATTTGATTATGATTTATTATCTGATTATGATTTCCAACATTCTTGATTTTAAGTTCATTTAGACTTCAAGTCAGGGTACATTGGCTACACTGTTGCTGATTAAGTTTTTACCATCGACCAATAAGGAGTGGGTAAGATTTTGGTCGAGCACAATTTTCTTGGGTAGACTCGTGGGATCACAGTAAAATCTCTGTAAGCTTCGATAAAATGTGTATCTTTAAGATAAGAGGAGACACAAGCACCTTCACCTGGAAGTGCAGCCCCTGGATCTGCCAACTGTGTATACACTTATACGACTTCTGGGAAGTAAAGTTTTATCAATGCTCCAGAAATACTACTTTATGCGTAAGCAGTCTTCATATGGCTTTGTAACCTGCATATATCACAGGGTTACAACCCTACTATAACTTCACACTGGGTCTATTCATCAGGTGCTGTGATGCCTGGTGTGATTTTCAGTGTCAGTACAATGTGTACAGAGCAGTAAATCAGATTAGCTTTATGTATGGGTCTCTCTCTCTCTCTCTCTGTATGTGTCTGAAGAGCATATTTGTACCATTCACTGATAGGATCCACCACTCACGTTAAGATAAGAGGAATTGCAATTCCAAACTTGATAAGATGATGCTTTATTATTTCCCTTTCAGGCGACATTAATGATTTTTGGTCAATTAAAATGGTCCACTTCATAAACCTGTCCTAAAAAGACAAATCAAATAGTTACAGGACAGAAAAAGCAGCTAGAGTTTGAACCATTAACACAACAAGAGAGAAATTATGATCTGATTAATTTCACTGAGGTTAGCCTCTGAAGATATATTAGCAGTCCCTCACTGTGAACAAAGCAGATGATTACATTAGGGCTCGAGTAAACCAAAGACAAACTTGGTCAGCAGGAATTTCACCCATTCGTGAACTCATCAATTGGTGGTTGGAAAGAAAAATACACATTATCTCTAAATCAGCAAAATCAGTGACAGTGTAGTTGTGCAGCTTGGCTGGAAAACTGAAAAGGTTATTCTCATTTCAGAGATTACACACCACAAACAAAGGGGTTTCAATATTCCAAACACTGACACAACAGAAGGATATAAGTTAATATATTTCAACAGTTATAGCCTGAAATGTAATATTCTTGAGTTACTACTACAAACATTTCATCAATCATACTTCAATTTACATTTTCCTTTTTTTTATGTGTCATGGACCCTGATTTCTACTCCCATTTTTATCCTATATGCCTGGGTATTTGATCAAATTTAGTAATGCCCAACAACTGCAACATACAGCATTGATTTTTGTAACACATCCAGATACCTCACCATATACATTCTTAGATGAACATGCTGTATATTGGATTACACTGGGACCATCAGTTTGATAGAAAAACCAATTCCCACTGGCCCGTCAGATCTGAACACACAGCAAACACGTGTATTAATGCATGAAAACACACAGGTAAGGACACAATATTCTCATATTGCAGGGTTCAGTGGCTCCATTTAACATTTACCCATGCACCATTGAGTGAAATTAGCCTACTTTAGGCCCAAAGCAACACAGTCAATTCACTGTAAGAGCTGCTTCCTGAGTAGTCAATAGATTGTATTGTATTACATGCTGGCAATGATGAGGAGAGCAGTCCAAAGGGATAATACAGACTAAAACGCTGCATACCTTAGAGGGTTGCACTGGAATCTGCAGCATAATATGGGCGAGCAGAAAAATAACAGCCCCACTCTGTGGAGTGGAACCGGAGGATTCAGAGATCAAATAGATAAGCCACTTCAGACCTTTCCATTTCAGTGCATGATAGAGCTCACATCTCTAAACTCTTGCTCGGCACATCATCCCTTCCCTTTTTGATCTCTGCTACTGATGCTTCGAGTACAAGGCCCGACTGTGTGAGAAGATTGTGATCCAAACTGAAGCTTAATTAAATTCTTAATTATTCAATTGACCCAGCAGCTGGTGATCAGTGGAAACGAAGCATGAAGAGGGTGTTTTATTAAAACCCGTTATGTTAAATTATATAAGCAATGTCAACTCAAATGTGCATTAGTCAGCTCCTGCATGATGCTAATTAGAGCAGGAACTAAGCACACATCTTATTAAAAATCACAGTTAGTGGCGATGTCTCTCGCACGGTGCGCAGCGAGTAAACTCTGCTGCTGATGTCACTAAGTAAATAGATGTACTAAAGACTTGTAATGAAATTACAGGCGGGCTGAGATCCAGGATAAACTGAGAGAAAATAAATCTAGCTGCCTTTCGTGGAGGCTCTCCCACACACTTCACACTTTCCTCAGAGCATCACTACCTGCTCGTGTTTCCTGAGCTGCACCACCACTGAGAGTACAGCACGTAAGGAGGAAACACTTAAGTAGATATTTACTTCTCTTCAAGGCCTTCATTGTGCATCATACTTCCTCCCAGTGTGCCAGTGTAGCGGCCCCATTCCTGTTTGTCAACACTTATTTTCGGGGAGATTGGGGGCTGTGGAGAATAAAACCTGATTACACAATCCCAAGTCGTGCTTTCAGAGTAAAGACGCCATCCTGAATTGGCAGTATCGTTTCACAGCAGAGCTAACATGCAGAATGGCATGAGAGGGTGAAAGCATTCTTCTGCCGTCAGATGAAAACTTTTATCTCTTAATTCTCCCCAGACTTAAACCTTTAGTCTCTAAACACAGTACTAACACTCGCCCCACTCGCAGCTTAGTTTACTTTATGATTCCTTCTCACTTTGCCAGATTTACAATACTTCTCAATCTTGTTCTGAGCTTTTGGGGGATATTAGAGAACTGTCCGCCCACTTTGTAAACAAAGTTAAAATATAGTTCCTCCAGGTTTTCTAATGCGTGTTTACAAGTGTAAAACAAATTGTGAGAGGGCTTTAACTCCTGCTGTAAAAATCACCCTGCTTAGTGACAGGAAGGTTTGCAGGATGATGGTCTCACAGGGACCCGAGCATTGATACAGGCCAGATGTTTCCCTTGAACGCACACCGGCACAGCATGGGGAGGATCCCTCTGGAAACGTACTGCTCATTATCCTGTCTGATTGGACACCGCTCTGACACACAAGTCCAATAAGTGACACATTTTACTTGTATCAGCGGCTGTAATTACCTTCTCACCAACCTGGTTGAGCAGATTGCGGGTATTGTGTACTCTGTGGTAAAATTTACAAAGTACTCAGTCCTTTCTTGGCATTCTGACCTCTCCTCCGACTCATCAAGGGATCGCCGTTCACTTTGATGTGTTTTCAGTGTAACACTTACAATTATCTTGTTTGTGGAGCATTACAGGTTGTTAACTTGAAAGAGCCATTTGATCATCCTGAATCTTTGATATAGTAAGCCTGCACTCCAGTATTAACATGTTAAAGTGAAACAAAGAGGACATTTCCACCACAGTGAATGCAATATTATCTGCTACTTTGCACTTTGAAATTTTAACTTTCTCTGAGCCTTCTGTCAAGAAAAGCCTACAGGGTATCAGGGCATACAGTGTCAATAAAAAGCTTTGTATTTAAACTCCTTTTATTGCTTAAATTTCTTCACGAAGGTCCTCATCCTGCAAGCTTCTGAAAACACAGGGTGTTCGGTCATATCTCTAGCCCTTTGCAGAGTGAGAGCAGATGGAACTGGATCAAAACGGTAGGAAATGAAGGAAAATATATTTAAGTCTTATGGGCTGACGGGACTGGGCCTGAGCCAGACCAGCTACAATGTAGCAGTGTTCAACATATGTGCTGCTATTTTAGTATGTTAAAAAAAAAAAACATTGGTGAAGTCCCACATGGCTTAGCATCCTGCACAGATACTGGGATCTAAGATAACTACTGCACTTTAACAGGAGACCAAACAGCAGCCTATTCATCATCGTTTTCCTGGCAATATGACAGAGCTAAAAATCTAAATCAGTGAGATCTATTTGAGACATTCCCATAATCAAACCTGATGTGATTACCTCACCATGCAAATGTTTGACACTGAACAGAAAGTCTCTGTAATCAAACTATCAGTGATTGTAATCAAACAAAGCTACAGCCAATAATTGGCATTCACTGACTGCCTCAGATTGGTTGTAAATGTGTTAAATGTCAGGTGAACACTGTTGGTTATGTGCTTTTACAGGCATTAACTTAATCATGGCAAGCAGTCCAAGACAATCTTTAAATCATGTTTGTAAAAGGAAATCAGTGAGGTCTTATTAAAAGAGGAATAAATGAACGAGTAAACCAACAGAGTAAAAACCACTTCACAGTAAGATGGCTGGAATGATTAGTTAATTAACAGAGTCGTGGATCTACAGAAAATTAATCTCAAACCATTTCAATGGTCATTCATGTGAAACCATTATTAGAGAAACAATGGCAAACATTTATTCTCTTAGTTTTCAGAATCTGATTTTGTTTTTTAATCACACTGTGTAGTTGACACTCAAGGCTAGGCAGAAAAAGTCCTTTCCATTTTCTTAAAACCCATTAATCAAACAATTAAGACAAGAAAATATTCAGCAGATTAACTGAAAGTAAAAAATAAAAAACTGAAAACCCCATGAGAAGATTTTAGCTCTCATAAAACAGACGGATGCCAACAGTGAGGCTTCTTTATAACCAAGGACATTTACATGGCTGTACCTGCTGTGAGGCGGTTGTTGACTGCATGCTTAAGAAACGACTAGAAAATACTCCACATATCACAGACAGAATAAGGTGAGGTGTATCACTGTCTACAGGTGGCACCAAAACCATCAAAATATTCATTCTGAATATGAAACAAATCTGAAAGAGACAGAAAAGGAGACACTATCTACCTCTGAAGCCAGCTCTCAACCTTGTTGCTCAAGGCTTATTGCTCAAGGCTACTCAAGCCTCTATTACTTAGTGTAACACCTAAATCTGTAATTTAAAATGTAGATGAGATCAAAAAGCTTGCTGAAATTAAAGCTAGAAGCTTCTAAAACAAAAAAAAAGATCATAGTTAGTAAAAGAGACAACATTTTTGGCACTGCTGTGTCCTTTTTTGTTTCTAGTGTTCACTGTGCTTTTGACAATTTCAAAACAGGAAAATGTGAAATTGCTCGAGCGCTCTTCCACCAGGAGGAAATGTTATGGATGAGAATTTGAGCATATCCCAAAGCTAAGTGTTATCATTTAAGCTTGAAACTAAAGGACCCTCAAGAACACAGGGTTAAAGGCTCCAGCTTGACCTGTCCAACTACTGGCCCTCCCCTCCTGTTTAGGCTTTTACTTTGGCTAAGTGGGCTGGGCCCCAGGGTAGACAGTTGTAGGTAAGTGGGAGAAACACAGAAAAGGGATTCATTCAGCCGCCTCTCCTTCTCTCTTTCTCTGTAACAGTCAATCTGAGAGCGATCAGAGATTCCCCTCAGAGTTAGCCTTAGTCTCAGAGTGACACAGTTATTGCCTCCTATCTGAAACAACAAGGAAGAAACAAACAAGATTGTGTTCATGCTCATACACACAAATGTAGATCCTCAATCCTGCTTCACATACAAAGTAAAGAAGGCAAAGGCATGATAATGATCGTGATTTATGCCTTAGCTGATTGTCTGGCAGAGTTCATGCATGTTGTAGGTCATCAACTCAGCATTGCCAACCTTTAACTTGAGTTCTGAGTAACAAGTAATTTACTTTATTGATTGATTTATTGAAATGTTGGGATATCTTTGGGGTTTAAGCGCGGGATGCACTGATCCGATATTTGGATCGGATATCAGCTCCGATATGAACAAATTAACTGGATCTGATATCTGATGAGTGATGCCGATCCAGTCTTTTTTTTTTCTTTTAATTATTTTTTTCTTTTAATACATGTAAATCTTACTTCTTTTGCTGTGTGCTGATGTGCAATTAGTTTTTTGTTAATAAATAATATTAAGTAAATTTATATCTGTGTTAATTTGTTCCCTTTATTAACAAGGCTAACATCATGCCTGATGCCTTCACTCAAAGGGTTAGGTATACAGTTCTTTCACTCAACAGTAGTATTGGATCAGTTTCTGAAATCGGCCGATACGCTCAGCCCCGGTATCGGTATTGGATTGGATCAGAAAAATTGATCGGTGCATCTCTAGTTTAAGCTGACATAAGGACCTGGCTTCTTCCAATGATGCAACTGCACTTTCAGGCATGGGTTTTACCTCTTCCATAGCGACTGAATTAATAAATAAGTCCATTAGACCTTCATCAATAATCACTGGACTCCCACAGCAAAGCCCAGTTTAATGCAGCATATCATCAATAATATAAAGAGGGAATCTTCAGCCTCAATATCTCACCGAGTATGATCAGATGATCATATGTCTCTGGTCTTCAACATGGAGTGTGTATTAAAATATTCCTCTTGTGGTTCCATATTCTTCACACAATCAATAGTTCTCCCAGGAGGGGTCTGATTCACTGTGGTGTTAAAACATGAAGCCCCACCACAAGGAATGTCCCCTTTGGTTAAAGTAATGATCGAAATCTATGGCTCCAGTCTCATCGGGATGCAGGTTTGGTATTGCATTGGAAGCGTGTTGTATGGGTGTGTATATGTGTGGGGGCAGGCTTGTGTGCACACATGCATTAGCTTCAGGGAGTTATGGTTCTGCCCTGAAAAGAGGCCGTATAATAATGGCATGAGAGGAGTATTTATCACATGAAATAACTATCCCTCCCTGACTCCACGGCAGACCTCACCCCTCCAAGCCATCTGCACAAGAGGGAGCCCCATGCACTGAGTGACCATAAAATCTAACGTTCATCTGAGCATGTAATATAATACCACTGTAAAGAGTGCGAGCTCTGGCCAGCTCCAGTAAAGGCACACAGACGTTTAGAGTTCTCTGAAAGGAAGCTTGGCAAATATTATAAACACTTTATCCAGCCATTATCCTTGACCACACACAGAAATGTAGATCCATGTTTCACAATAAAGAGGGATCAATAGGTTCCTGTTCGAACACTGCAGGCTCTAATGGTGTTGTAGGTCCAGTTTACATCTAAGGGATCTTTTATCAGTGCCTGACTTTGTGCATTACTGTGCCATAAAGCCTGTACAGTGTAAATCTTGAAATATGTCTACACAGAAGCAAATATGGATTCGATACTGTACAGCAGGTTTTCACTTTGACAGAACTATCTTACTCTTACGGCAAAGGTGTTTCTTTCATTGCACACATTTCAAGTCATACTTTGCACCTCTGCTCATCTGACTATCTAACCGGTAATCTATATCCTTCAGGTAGATAATACTAAGCAAGATTAAATACCTAATATTCTTCTCAGAAAACCTAGCTGCCTGGCTAGCATTGTGTAACAGCGTTTATGTTATTCACTGAAAGAGAGGTGATTTCCTATCCCTACTAACTGCTGTTCTGCACAGACCTAATGTGAGCAGATTGCCGAGTTATCTCTTGTATTTGGTCAGTGCCTCAGAAAACGGTTGTCATGGAAATGCTATTGCAAATGATAGGCTGTATCTACTAATTGTACATTGACCTTCAGATCTGAACAGACAATGACATAAACAGAGAACTCTTGAATGAACAACAACAGCCATCCTCTCTGAAATAAACGCTGCTGTAACTTTACAGTCTCAGAAAAGCCTCTGGATTGTGTCTGTAGGGCCATCGCACACAGATCAGGCAACTTCAAAACGGCCTCTGATGTAAGAATGTAATAGAGGATGACAAGGTTAACT